TGATTTTGGCAGCTCACACAGCGTCCACTACAGGAACTAACCCAACTGTACTGGGCAACCCCAGCACAGGGTCCCCATTCCTGCCAGCAGCCCAGTCTGAAAGTCAGAACCCAGCAGTGATAGATACTAGGGTGACCCTAACCGACAGCAGCTAGGAACTGTTCTGGATCAGCAGTGTCTTCTAAGAGACAGAGATACAGAGATCAAGATCTGGTGATTGAGAAGAAGGGAAGGCAGGGGCATCATTCCCAGATGACTCTGGGAAGACCAGGCAGGCTACAGGATAAGGAATCAAGGTAAAAAAAGCACCAGCATCAGCTTGGTATGAGCAAATGTAATTCATGGCAGTGCAGCTGCACTCCTGCCTCCAAATATTGTTGGATTTAGTGTAGACAATGAAGAAAGACACAGGATTTCACCTTAGTAAGTTCATCTAGCTCACTGGCTTGTTCATGAACCTTCAAATAATGTTTAAGATTAGAGACTGCTTCCATGTAACCAATAACTGGAAGGGTTGGGACTTGCCGACAGGATTAATGAGAAGCCTTTGTCATCAAACCTAAGTATTTGTTTTAAAGGCACTTGGGCAAGGTGGGATTTGGCCATTATCCAGTGTAACCTGGGTTGTATCATCCATTCATTTAAAAACCAAAGTTTAAAATTGTAAAAAGGATGGTCAAAAGTAATAAATACAAGTAGCTGAGGGTTCCACACCATACACATCCAAAGCCGTCTCACTCACTATTCAGGAGGCAGAGAGAACTCTCAGTCCTGCCAGTCTAACCTACATTTGCCCAGAATCCCTGGTTCATGACACACATTTGAGGTGAATAGTTTGGGGGTGTCAGACTCTTCATCTGAGACAAAAAAAGCTCTGCCTCCCCTTTTATTTTGCTTTGCTTTATGAATAGCTTTCATTCTATTTTTTGACCCTGGACTGCAGAGCTGCTGAACTGTCCTTGCCTTTGGCCTTTTTTTCCCCAGTTATCCTTGGCTTCTGCTCTTTATCAAACAGTATTAACTTGATCTTTCCCCAAGAGTTCCTGAAGTTCACAAAATTCTTGGGGTACATGTAGGCCTAACTTCAAAAAGAGAAAGGAAGAATAGGAAGGAGGAGGGAAGGAAGGGAAGGTGGGGGAGGAGTACTCAAAACACCAAAATGAACATTTTGTCTTCTCCATTTGTCTCTCAGGTACAGAGGATCAAATTGATCATACTTCTTCATTCAAAGAACATTAGCATTGGTCCATTCAAAGTCCCTCTCTGTTTTTAGTTATTTATTCTCTCTCTTTCCCTTACTTCCTTTCAACTCACCATAGGCAATCATCCTAATGTATATTTATGTTTTCTTTTAAAATGTCTAACATTTGATATGTATGTATTCTAATTCTATAAGTAATATTTTACATATATCATTAATTTCTCATTTTTCTCAGCACCATGATTCTAAGATCCACGCATACTGCTCTGGTGTGCCTTTAGACTCTTGCTTCTACCTGCCAACCTATTATTTAGGGTTGCACTATCCACCCTTTACCATTCCTTCACTCAGTAGTAGACACCCAGGTTGCCTGATGCCACAATGCTGTGAAGAAAATTCTTGTATAGGTTCCCTTAAGTATCAATGTGAGAATTTCTTTGGACTTTATACAGGAGTAGAATTGCAGGACTATTGAGACAATTGTTCACATTGCTAAAAGTTTTATGACTTCATGGAAATAATCACAGAAGCATTCAGTCATCAAGGAAGGGAGCCTCTTCAAAGGGAGTACATTCGAATGGTTATTAACAAATCACAAACCACATAGACAAACATTTAAATACAGGCGGCAGATACTTGAATGCTTAGAAACTGCTGCTTGTTGAAGGCAAAGCAGAAATGAAGACATGGCATGTCAAAAATAAAAATATAAGTCAGTGGGAAAAATAGTTTTTGGATTCATCGAACCACACTCTCTACTCACTTTATGAAAATACATCTGTTCTAAAAAGCTTGATGCACCTGCCTAACCCTACTTCTCTCCCCATTTTCTGGCCCCCAGGCCTTCTTCTTGCTCCAGCCACATCCACAAAGCTGTCTGCTGTTCTTCCAATGGCTCTTACATGATGGGAACTCTATTTTTTACCTCCATCACTGCTCCTTTTCCTGCTCGGCAGCATCAACATCAACTCTGAAAAATTTCAGCTTGCACTAGGGCTGTTCTGTAGTCACTGGGGTCCACCAGTGCATGATCTACAGCTTCTCTCACTTTTGTCCAATCTTTGCTCCCCATCGCTCATCCCTCCATCAATCAAAGCTCAGGCAACCTCCCTGGTCAAATCTGAGCCAGAGTGCTCTTCTGGGAACCATATTGTACTCCTTTTTGGAGGAAGAGGCTGCCTGTTGAGTGGCTCCAGCTTCTGGGCTCCATTTGCATGAATAAACACCTCTGAAGAATTCAGCTAAAGCTTTTATGTAAACACTCTCCAAAATACGTTCTTCACTGCATTATCCCCAGCAATAAAAATTCTGGAATCAGAATTTGGCTGTCAGTTTTATTGATGTTGCATAAGGTACACTAGAATATAGCTTTCCTTCTGGAAATTTATTGACTTAGCAGTGCAGAGAGCAATAAAACTGTGTTTTTAATCAGTAAGCCAAGCAGACATGATTCCAGAAGAAATATAGGAAACAAAAATGCCGTCATAAGATTTCTACCCCCCACTGTCCCTGTTCTTCTCAGATGCCCTGTTAAATAAGTTTGGGTATTGAACGATGTGTTTGGTGGACTGCCTTCAGGATATAAAATCAGAGAACCGAGTTTAGATTACTTCCTCTAGTACCATCTCTAAGAGACTGTTGAGTAAAAGCATTTTTCTGAAATGAAATTTCTTTGCATTAGTCCCTAGAGAGGAAATGCTGGTAAGCTGCTTTGCAGAAGGAATAGCAAGAGTGAGCCTGCCTCCTCTCAGGAGAAGCAAAGTTACAATACTTATCCCTCCACCTTGCTCACTGAGAGAGAGAGAAGACTACCTGGGTATATATCAGAAGGAAATGAAATCACTGTCTCTAAGAGATATTTGCATCCCATGTTCATTGCAGCATTATTCAAATAACCAAGATATGGAAGCAACCTAAATGGATTAATAGGTAAAGAAAATATTAATTTTCAGAATATTTTTCAGCCATAAAAAAGAAGGAAATCTTGCCATTTGTGACAGGGTAGATGAACTTATAAGGCAGTATGCTAAGAGAAATAAGCCACACAGAGAAAGACAATACTGTGTGGTATCACTTATATGTGGAATCTAAAAAAGAAAGAAAAACAGATTTCATAGAAACAAAAAATAGGACGGTGGTTGCCAGTGTAAGGCAGGGTAGAGGGAATAGGGAGATGTAGGTCAAAGAGTACAAATTTTCAGTTATAAAAAAAGTAGGTTCTGAATATCTGATGCATAGCATGTTGACTATAGTTACTATGATATTGAATACTTGAAAGTTGCTGAGAGTAGATTTTAAACATTCTCACTACAAAAATAAAGTTAACTATGTGAGGTGACAGATGTGTTAATTATCTTGATCTTTTAATCATTCCACAAAGTATGCATATATCAAATAATCACATTGTACACTTCAAATAAATACAATCATATTTGTCAATTATTCCCCAATAAAGCTGAGTGGGTTAGGAGTCACTTACTTTGGCCCACTATCACACAGTGAAAAGAACATTTGGGCTTAGTCGGCTTATCCAGTGTCACCTGTTCAGGTTACTTAATTGCTTCATGATCAATTTCTTCTGCTATCAAGGGAAATACCGACATCACATCACTGTTGAGTGTATAAAACAAGGTTGTAGGTGGGTGTGCACAACCCACACAGCATCTTACACCAGTAAGACAGGTCTGTAAGACATGTCATTGATTCAAATCTGTTCTTCATGGAGGAGGTGCTCTTTCCTAGCAGCTGAAGCAGTCTCTACTGCATAGACACATGAAAAGCAAGGCAGATCTCCCATCTGTGTTCTCATAGTCCTGGTATTCACTTCCAACCTAAGATATCCTGAACCACTCCCCCCTTCTCTGCCAGTTGCTGGATCAAAACCTTGAAACATCACAGATACTTGACAACCGTTGGTTGAACATTCATCCCTGCCTTCTAGATGCTCTCTCCTGAGTTATCTTAACCCAGGTTCCTTTAGCACTCATACAACATTCTGTTCTGATTTTGCTATGGTTGCATTAAAGCTCTATTCTCAAACTTTATATAATGCATAACTTTGATCTCAACTCAAGACACTTAGATTATTCCTCTGGATTTAAGGGAGTGCCTGAAGGAGATGCTTTACAGATGTTCAAAAATGGCATGAGATGCCCATGTGATTTAACTGTAGGAGCAAAGTGATCTGATTGGGATAATATTGAAACAGGCTGCCTGGGGAATATGGTATAGATCAAAATAGGAACATGATCTTAGTAAATCTTCCCTTCTCTGCCTGCCTGGCTTCCAATTCTCTTCTTTAACCAAAATAGTTTCTTTTCCATCTTCTCACAACCAAGCCAAAGGGCTACTCCAGAACTATTCATTAACTATTTACTTGGTGCCAAGCCCTGTCCTTTACACAAGTTATCTTGATTAATCATCACAACAACATTGTGAAATAGGAATTATTCCAATTTTATAGAAGAAGAAACTGAAACAGGGATATCATATCTCAGGGTCACCAGCAAAGAAGTGGGAGAGTAGGGAGGTAAAGAGAACCAGGTGTGTCTGATTCCAACGTTCAGGATCTTAACTACAAAATTACACACTCTTTGATAAAGAACAAGAATGAGTCATGGCATGTCTCTTTATTGCTACAAGATAGGATTCTTAACCTGAACACAGTTATTGGAACTCTGTAGTCACACACACACACACACACACACACACACACACACACACACACACTTAATTCATGAATTTAAAAAGCACCCAGTCTTATATCTTAAATTCTTAGTTTTCCTTTTTTCTTTTCTAGATCACTCACCTATCTCCCTATTAAAGTAATCCCATCTCAAGCTTTCAGAGGACTTAATGAGATCGTAAAAATGTAAGTAAGATACTGCATATCAAAAGAAATTCATAACTGGAATAATAAAATTTTTTCTAAGAAAAAACATAGTTAAAAGGGAATCGTTTTTTTTTCTAGGAGAGAAACTGTGTTTAGGAAACCTTGCTATTTTTATCTTTACAGTACAAATAATAACTAGAGACCTTTGAAGAAAGGTATGATTTTCAATAGTCATTAAAATCCAGATAATTAACCTTGCTTCAATGAACTGAATGCATTTTGATAAGTGATAATAAACTTCTCCAGTAGAAAAGAAAATAGGTTCCAATCATAAAAATTCTGCTAAAGTAGCTATTCCCTTGTGTCACATTTTTAGGTAACACCCACACAGAAGAAAATGTGTTAGAAGTTTATTGTACATTAGAAGATAATCTTTGTATCTAAAATAAAAGTGTAAGACAGAAACATAGTATTTGTAGCTGTACTGATAAAAGGCATTTATCAAAATTATAAAGCAGCCTGACAATGCAGGGTGATCTCACATTTGTGTCAGATGTAACTTCAATCCTTTTTCCCAGGTCTCAGCTTCTAGGGCGCAACACCCTACGCATGGAGGGAGAACTTGCTCATGAGTCCCAGTATTGGAGCATCCTCCTTAATGTTAGTCTGAGCCAAAGGACCTCAGAGTCCATTTAGTTCCCATCTTAACAATACAGTGGGATTTCTAAGCAGATTTTCATCTATAAAGAAGATGCTAAGCTGTGATATTAGCTCCTTGGGGAACCTCTCACTGCACTTTAGGGTATTAGCAAGAATGAGGATATTAAAAGTAATTCCACAAGAATGAGTGCATATTATAGGAAATTCACTGCATGTTACAGAAATGACAGTTTGCTTGAAGCTAACACTTACTCTTCTGTTCTCAAAGTTTAACTTTAGAATTTTGTTAACTTTTAACACATTAAGACCTCTTGGTGAGAAAAGCAACCATAACTAAATAAGTAAATCATTAAGTAGGAATAAAATGAATCAGGCCAGGAACAATCCATTACTGTGTTGTTCATAAAAGACATTAACTGCCTTAAACTCAGCCTTTCTGTGGGCTTAAGCTCTTATCAAATCTGAAGCCTTCAGGGAATGTCAACCTTAGAAACATGCAAATGTACCATTTGTGAATTTAAGACTTTCTTCTCAGCTGTCAGCAAATGGTAGCCTATGTTAGGAGTTTGGAGTAACATTAACATTACTTACATGCTTGGGAGTGGTATATGGCAAAGCTGGTTCCTTTATGTTTGAGTTCTTTTAACAAATCTATTTATTCATTAATCCACTCATTCATTCATACCCCATGTGCCAGGCAACATGAAGCCACCAGGGATTCAGAAGTGAATAGGACATATTCCTTGTCCTTAATTTGCTAGCAGAGTGAGAAAAACAAATAAATAGACAGTTACAATCCAAGAAGGACATTGAAGGAGTTGACCCTTTGCAAGAGCCTCAGAACAGGATTTTGGGAAAAGGGTAAAGAGTTACGAAGCAATGAATGTAACCCAAATTAAAACCTCACTAGAGTGATGGAGCTAGGAACACAGACATCTTGATCCTGGTCCTGAACCTTCCTCTAAGCACATTTGCCTGTCCTCTCAGATCCTCAATTTCCAAAGCTGTAAAACAAGGGAATCTGACTAGATTTTCTCAAAGGGCCTGTCCACTTCTAATAATCTGTGACTCTTGAGTCATAAACAAGGAAAACACCTGTCACATAAACAGGTTACTGAAATGTGCATTTCAACTGCACCTGGGTTTTAGATGCCATCAGTGTTCTGAAAGGGAGATGCTGTTAGCACTCTATGATGCCAGGGCAACTTATGGGATCCTTGTTCTTTTTTAAAAGGGCACAACGGAGCCCCCAGTTGTTGGGTCACACACACAGCTTATATTCATGTGGATATGGTCAGTCCTTTCATGTTTCTTCTTATACTTTTTTTTTCTCTCCCCTAGTGAAATCTCTCAGAGTGATTCCCTGCAAAACATAGAAGCTAATGCCTTTGACAGCCTCCTCAATTTGTCTGAAATGTAAGCATCAGCTAACAGATAGTTTATTGCTGTACACTATTACCCTTGCTGGCTGGAGCCCACTCAGTATTTGTGTTCGAGCATCCACTGCTAGGAATCCAAGAGGAAAAAGACTACAGCAATCTCTAGGCCTGGGCAGTCACTAATTTCTCTCACTGTAGTGGCCTGAAGGTTGCCATGGTGACACCCGCTTCTCCCTGGGAGCTGAATAAACTCTGAAACATCACAATACAAAGTTGGAAATTAAAATTGACATTGTGGAGTCCTGCCAAGGAGCTCTTACCTTATGGAAGGGAGGGTATAGAGTACTTGGGGCAGTGGAAAAATTTGGATAGGAGCTTCGAGATCATGAATTAGTTCATTGGGGACTGTTTGGGCATATTGATTTATTCAGAAAATGGTTCTTGGGAACCTACCATGTAACCTGTGTTGGGCGTGTGTATACTTAGTTTATTGTTGTTACTGTGATGTTTTAGAATTAATTCTTAAAAATAATCTTTTCCAAATTATCATTTTCCTCCAATTTACAATTTCCTCTGAAGTATCAATTTCCTCCAATTGGCTCAATTCTATTTTCAAATGATGAACCTGTGGCCCAGAGGTTAACTGACTTGCCTGATGTCATACATCAAGTTAGTTGTCAGATCTGGGACTAGAAATCAGGTCACATAAGACACCAAGCTTCTTACTGCTGTTTTATTTGTCCCAAACCTGAGCTTCTACAAAGTTCATCTACATAGAAGTTTCAAAAGTTAAGAGGAGAAAGATGATAGCAACAAATGTTTTCTAAGCACTTGTGCTTGGGATTTATTTCCTTCAGATTGTGTCATTTAATCCTCACAGCCACCTTGCAAAGTGGGATAATTGCGTCTTTTGTTCAGGGGAAGGAATGGAGGCTTAGAGCAGTTAGTAACTTAACCAATATGGCACATTAGACAATGGCAGGGCTGGGATTAAACCCTGGCCTTTGTTCAAAGCCTGTGCATTTCCCCCTATACCACAAAGCCTCCCTATGAATGGTCCAATTCACAATTATCTGAAGAGAATAATTAGTTGCTAAGTATGTGAGTACCTACCACATGTTCAACCTGGTAGTATGCAGAGGAGGTAAAATAGGAATCTCCCCCTCGAGATGACAGTGCAGCCAGGCTGATGAGACTAACTCACCGAATGATCATGCAGAAATAAAAAATAAAGGGTATTTAAGATTAATACCAATTAATAATCAAAACTAACAAAAGGTATAGTCTGGACTTGGCTGTGAAGTAGAATTTCATAAAGGGTTATTACTATTATAGATGAGAGTCTTATCCCAGACCTGGAAAACTGCAGTTTTAACAGACTTCCAACTGGTGCTGAAGCACAGCTTATACTGAGAACCACCGGAGCAGCTTAAGATAGATAAATAAATCTGCTCATGATGCAAAGAAACATTTATCAACAGAAAGAAAAAAAAGTGCTCTGTGGGAAAGTTTATGAACTTTTCCCAAGGAAGGCCCTGAGGCTAGGATGTTAGCTCCATACAGGCTCTTTGCTTTGCTTACAGCTAGCTGTATGCCCAGCACCTAGAACAATGCCTGGCACTTGTAGGAGCTCAATAAATTTTGTTGAGTGAGTGGATGGATGGATGGATGGATGGATGAATGGATAGATGGATGAACAGGTGGATGGATGAGTGGTCTAAGGTCAGACCCCAAAAGATCCTTAAGAGGTAAAAGTTCCTTCCATCTTACCTACATGCCTTATCTGGCCCATAATTGCTTGACTCAATTTGTAAAAACAATTGCAACAAAACATCACTCACTTATAAAGAATCAAAAGGATATACAAGATGTAAATAGGTAAGTGACAAGTAACTATAGTAAGGTGGAATGAGCACTAGACTTAGATTCAGAAAAACTGAGTTCACTTCTAAGTTCTGCTGCCTCTCAGGTGTGTCACTAGAGACAAATCACTTCCTGATTTCAACTATAAAAATGATTGTTACCATGACTGAGGCCTTACTGTAGACCAGATACGCTTATTTACTCTACAAAACTGCCCTATGAGGAAACTGAGCCTTAAGTGGTATATCCAAGGTCAGACAATCAGTAAAACCATATGTATATCCAGAGTCTGTTCACCTAACCACTACACTGTATTTTCTCTATAGAAGAGTAATTATCTTTTCCTCAGGTGGTTATTGCATGGGTCAAGAAAGCCAAAGGCATTTACCAGCCTTTTACTGAATCTAAAGTAGACACGATCTGGCAAACGTGACTATTTCTTAAAGGGTCAGGTCACTGGGGAACTAGGGAGAAGGGTACTAAGACCACTATGTTGTTATGGCTATACTTTTATACTTTGCAAAGCCCTGCCTTGTACATTATCTCTACTTATTCTATGACTCAGTACCTACCAACCTATGAGTTAGTTAGAGTACATATTATTATTCCAATTTTAAAGAAGGGAACACTAGCTCAGAGAACTTAGAAGAGCAGGCATTATCATGAAACAAATTATCTTTAGAATGGGTGTTAAGTCCCCAAAATTCAAGCCTTTGGACTCTGCCTTGGGCTATTTCAAAGACTGAGTGCCCATCTGGATAACTGGTCAGTGTGGCTGCTAGCCCAGTAGGAAGACCAGTTGGCCTTCAAGGGAGAGTAGCCAATCTGCTCATCTCTCCTGGGAGCAGAATCTCCCATTACCCTCAGGTTCCATGGCAGAGCTGACTTGGCCAGGAGCCCTGGGTATTGGTACAGGCTCCAGATCTGGGGGGAGGGGACGGCACATACTGCCAGCTATGGTGCTCACACCAGCCTCAGAAAGAGGTGGAGAGCAGAGCTTGCAGGCAATAGCCAACTGTCTCTCACCATGCCATTTCCATCCCCAGGGTCTCAGGAGCTCCTCTAAAGCATATGAACATCACTTGACTTTGTTGATGCCATTTTCAGCCAGCATCCATGGTCTTGTACATTCCAAACAATACACATCTATTAAACTGCTGCCTGTTTTTCCCTCTCTCTTTACAGACTAATCCAGAACACCAAAAACCTAGAGTACATTGAGCCTGGAGCATTTACAAATCTTCCCCGGTTAAAATATCTGTAAGGAATTTTTCTTTTTAAGCAACTGGGGAGGAAATATGAGAGTCTGATGAAAAAACAATTAAGAGGTTGGGAAAAAAATTAAACCATAAACTTAGCATTATTTGTATGTGTACTTCAGCACTCTGATTAAAATTTAATCTGTATTTCCTGTCAGTCACCAAGCTGGATGCTTTTGAATATGTCTAAGTGGTTCCCAACATTTTCTCTGTCCCAAACACACAAGAAGAATATCACCCCTTTGCAGTGATTTTTAAAGCTGTTGGTGGGAATGGGGTGGGGAGGTCATAACACTTTAAGAAGGGTAAGTCAGAACTCTAAGGTAAAGTGTTCTACATCTAGACAGAGCATAGGTAAAAGTGGCAGAGGCAAGTCTGGTATGACCCCCATCCCTGGTTGAGAATTACTGATCTCCTTTACCTCATTTGGTCATTCATTCATTAACTGAAAACTTTTTAAGTATTTCATTGAGGTAGGCAATGTGACATACAAACTAAATCATTATTTTCTATTTCCTATTAACTCTTATTAAGACCACTAGTAAGAATTCTAAGTTAAATACCATTATACTCCAGCAAAACCAAAATTCCTGAAAATTGATATAATCCACAAATTTACCACTATGCATCTTCTCACATAACAGGTAATTACTTATTCACACACACAAAATCTAATTCCCTCTAACATAGATGTCTCTCTCTCTCTTCTTCCTGATAAATTTCATAAAGTCTGCAGAGGATGGGTAGTCCATAACTGCTACCACTTGCAAAAAAAAGAGGGAGACAGGGTGGGGGGGGACATCTCTCTGGTGTTCCATATCATCTGCACAGTCTTGCTCTGGGACCCCTACGGGAGCTGCTGCTGGCACGAGAGAGGCTCCTTTGTCAACTCTAATGCTGGACAATTCCTGACCCAGGTGTTCTGCTTTTCCAGACCTCCAAGGGGTCTACAGGACCCATAAGCATCTGCAGCATCAACCACGATTTCCATCCCCAGGGGGTCTCAGGAGCTCCTCTAAAGAAAATCCCAGAACCAAACTTAACTGCTGCAGCCCCTAAGAATCATTGTCTTTATTAAATAGCATTTTTACCCCCATAACCGGATATTCCCATAACTCCAGTATGCCCTACAGTCTAAACACACACTGCTGACACTGCTGTCACCAGTCACAGACAGGGCAAGGACTCAGTGTGGTCTGGGGGAACAGGAAAGAGGAGAACCAGACAGGGCCAAAAAGAGACCTGGCTCCCTCACATTGTTTCCATGGTGCCAGGAAGTTCCTATCAGTTGTCCAGAGTTCTCTGTCAACTGTCCATGGCTGGTGAATTTAAAGCTTGGCTGGGGAAAATCCAGATGCCTGGACCCCTCTAAAGGGGTCCCATTTTTGTGTAATAAAATATCCTTCACTTAAACCTATCACTGAAGCCTCTCGCTTCTTTGAAGTTCAAATAAAAGGTGAGAGGGAAAAAAGGGGACCCTCAAGTAGCTCCAATAACCAAAAGAATGTTTAATAATTTCAGAGAGATAGAAGAAAGAACTTTCTGAATCACAAAGTAGCTAAATAAAGGGAGATTTTTAATAATGAAGGACATGGATTTCTCACATGGAGATTAGTCATCTTTCTGAAGCATCCAAGTTAAAACCTGTTCCAAAGTAAGGATGCCTCCAAAGAGGGATGCTTTCTAGAATTATCAACAGGAGGAAATAAATTAACTACCAAGAGGAAATGGAATGCAATACCATAGGAAAATACAACTGATATAATAGGAAAAGACAGGCTGGAAATACAAACATAAATGAAAAAGACCTGAAAGTTTAGTCCTAACCCCTAGATCTCTAAATAAGAGTCATTAGAGCAACTTCTCCCATGGTGTTAGGCACTATGAAATGCTGACAACCTTCAATAGCTTAAAGTGTTCCTGATAAAACCAAACTCAGTATTTTTTCATTTACTGTGAAAACAGTATTTGCAAAGTGCCCTTCTACTGCTTTTATCTTTATGTCTCAATAACAATCACTTTTATATACTCTGTGCCGCATCCCCACCCTGGGCCAAATCACAGGAGCATCTGTAACACAGGCATCCGAAAGCTTCCAGATGTTACAAAGATCTTCTCCTCTGAATTTAATTTCATTCTGTAAGTACTACACTGATTGCTATGCATAACAGTTTCCTATTTGCAGCTAAAATTTGGAAAGTAAATATTTCTTGTTTCATTCCTCAAGGGAAATTTGTGATAACTTACACATAACCACCATACCAGGAAATGCTTTTCAAGGGATGAATAACGAATCCATAACACTGTGAGTAAACTCCCAGATTCATGTTCTGCCATATAGACTCTTCCTATTCTCACTTCTAGCTTGAGGTAAGCTTTTTCTTGTCTTTTACCATGTTCCTCACTTGCAGATGATATTCTTTGTGACCTACTATGCCAATGGAGACAGGAGTTGTGTGGGATTACAGATGCATCATGATGGGTCATATATTCACATGACAACCAACCCACTCAGTCTAAAATTAATCAAATGGGCTCTGAGGATTTTCAGTGACCAAATTTTCAAATGATGAAATTTTTCACTGCATCAGTGGAATGCTTTGAAGCTGGGAAGAGACAGCCTGCAGGGGAATGGCTGTCCTGGTTAACAGAAAACACAGAAATTTCAAGTTTCAACTGAGAATACTTTAGTTCAGAAGGGTATTCTCCAAGTAGGTAGAGTATTTGATCAATGGATTCTTCTGTCTCTCTCTCTGATTTTTCATTTTGCTTCTGAAGCAACACCGTCTATGCCCATTCCCTACATCCCTTAATACATGAAAATAATATATTTTTATTTGACAGTCCCTCATCAGGTTACCAGGCTTATAGGCCCTATCACTTTCATGCTTTCCTAAGGCCTTGCTATTCAAAGTAACGCCCATGGACCAGCATCCACTGCATCTTCAGAAAGCTGGTTAGAAATGCAGACTCTCAGGCACACCCCAAATTTACTGACTCAGAATCTGCATTTCTGCCTGTCCCCAGGTGATTCACATGCACATTAAAGTTTGAGGAACCTTATACTAAGAAAATCCAACCCATTCTCTTCACTGCAAACCTGCTTGACTTCCTTCCCTCTGGGATCTCTGCCATCTTCATGGGACATGCTCCTTTGCCCCACCATTCAGGAGGAGTGTGCTGGGTACCATGTCTCATTTATATCCAGAGCCCAGTGACCAGTGATCCATATGCAATTCTGCTCCCCACATCCATATCCCTCTCACTCTTTCTCTTTGTGTGCAGCCCAATGACACGATAGTGATGAGGCAATAACTGAGCTTTCCCTTAAAGAAAGAAAGAGAGACCATGAAATGAGGAGGCAATTGTGAAGCAAGAGAAGAGGCCATCTCAGAGGACTCTCTTTTCTATCAATAGATTCTAAAAATTGGTATCAATAGTATGCTGTATTGTATAATACTTTTACTTTGTATGAGTATAATTAAACACATATAATTATCGTGTTATGAAGTTATAGCCAATGCAGCCCTGGCTCAGAGTGCTGCAATCAAAAAAAATAAAGAGCAACAACCAGAAAAAAAAATTTCAAAGTAACTCGAATTCTTTACTTGCAACTCAAGAACACTCACTAGGAAGGAGACTATAAATCCTAAGACAACTCGTCTACTATCCCTACAGTTCCCTTACACACTACAGCTCTTCCAGCTGTTTATAAAGTGTTTCCAAATCAATGTTGCGTATGGATCTGGAACTACTCATTTATCATGTCCCCCACCAGAAACTGTATTTACAGAGCAAACACTGAATGGGGAGGTACTGCATGCCTTAGGATTTGGGGTCTTCCATGTCTTTATTGAGAACACAAAAGATATATAAGACCCATGTCTTCAAGAAGCTCAGAATCTCAATTATGAGGCAATTGAGAAATTATGGGGGGAAACATGAAATAATGAAAGTATAATGTAAGCAGTAGATATTCACTGTGAGACCATGTGGTATAGGAATGAAAAGTCTTAGGCAAGTCCTCTTTGGCTGGAGAAGTCAGAGAAGACTACATGGAGGAACTGAGCCTTGAGTTAGACCACACAGGATCAGTAACATTTGTATGGATAAGTGTGATAATAGCAGCTAAATATTTTACAGCACTTATTAAATGTCTGCTCTGTTTTTAAGTACATTTTTTTCAAAATGCATTTAGGTCTCACAGCAATCCTATGAGGCAGGGACGATCAGCTCCATCTTTAGATGAGTAAACCAAGGCATTGAGAGGTTAAGTAATTTGCCCGAGGTCAGGATTTAGACCCAATTGGCTCCAGAGTCATGGTCTTAACCATTATGTGACACCATATACCAAGAAAAAGAGAACAAGTAATCCAAGAGAAGGGACAGCATGAGCAAAAGCATGGCTATGGGAAGGGGGAAAAATAGGATGGGTCTTACTCATTGGGAGTAAACATCCTGCTTAAGGAATGGGAAATATGTTCAGGTAAATGGAAGGAATGAAGGGAACACCAGGTTGCAAGAGTCTTGAATGCTGGGATGAAGGGTTAAAAGCTTAGAAGGAAATCCAAAATAAGAGGAAAGCACCTGATTGAGTAGCCTTTATCCAATGATCACAAATAGCCAAGACTCCCTCTGATTTTTACCTAAATATAAAAATAATCAGGAACCAATAGATACTCCTCCCAGGTAAATGTACAGTGAAAGGAGTGGACTGGAATTGGAATGAAAGGGCAGAAGACATAGAGGAAGATCAACAAAATGAATGTTGGGATAATCCATAGCATTCTAGGAGCTCACAAGACAGGGCCAACCCAACAAACTCAAAGAACGACCAGGTTCCTTTTCACATGTCACATTTCAGCATCCTCACACAAGAGCTGCACAGTTCTTCCATTATGGAGCCATTAACTTAACGTTAGTTATGATTTTAAGAAGAATAGTGCCTATCAGCAGGGTGTAATTGCCCCACCTCTGAAGTTAATGAGGATTACTGATCCATCTCTCCCAGAGAGCCTGTGGGGGCACTGTGCTTCCATCCCCCTCCTCACTCTTGGCCCTTCATCTAGACAGGGAGTGATTAGTCATTTACTTGGCACTTGTTCTCAGCTGAATGGGCCCTTCTGTAAGCAAAGGATCCTGTGGAGCACCCTGCCTGAAAAAGGGTATTACCCTTAAAAAGGAAAGCCTTATTTTCTCAGCTATATAGTTCAACTCCCTAATTAGAAAATAATGAAAGCAAGCCTTCTCTCTTCATTATTAATAGTATTTGAGATTTTGCTTTTTGTAGAACCTTTCCTGCCCTACCCCCACCCAAATCTTTACCAACTGTGAGCTCATTTAATGAAAACAGAACTCTTCACTTGATGCTGGAGAAGCTCAGTGGGGCTAATGCTAAAACTATGCATTATACTCTTACATCCCTTTATAACCACTTTAACTTTTCATTAAATCTCCTCAAGAGCCACCTTGAAATGTCCCCCCTGAGCAAGTAGGAATTGGCTGTGCTACCTCTAAAATATTCTAGATGACTGGTCAGACCAGTCTCAAAGTCTCAATAAGGAGACAACTTTGATTTACAACTGAACTCCACAAAGAGAAGGAAAGGTTATGGCAACTAATTCTCTAAAATTGTTCAGAGAAGGGAAGCCTGACAAAGGATGACAAGATTCCAGGCGGCACCTGGACAAGCCACAGTGAAGAGACCACTGGGTATTGGAAATGAAAGCCTGGGCTCTAGTCCAGGCTCTGCATCTAATCAGCCTTAGTCAAGTCATGCCACCTCAACATGCCTACATCTCTGTCCAATGGGACTACTACACTCCTTGTGCAAATTCAATCGCATTGTGTCAACTATATTGTACCACCACAATTAAAAGCTAATATTCAGCAAGCCAGTTGTTTTAGACTACCCCAAAAACATTATGTCTAATTACCTCTTCTTAAATATTTTTATTTTGAAGTTTTTATCTGACAAATGGAGAAAATGGTACTATGGACACCCTACATACACTACATAGGTTCACCAAGTGTTAACAGCTTGCCATACCCACTCCACCTCTATGTACGTACATATATACAACGCATTTCCCTTTTGCCAAACCATCTAAAAGGAGTTTAGGTAGACATCATGACACTTAATACCTAAATACTTCAACACACATCTCCCCATAACAGGGACAGTCTACATAACTACATCATTACACCTAAGAAAACAAAAATGAATTTAATGACATCATGCAAAATGGTAGTTCAAATTCTGTCATTCCTTTACACTTACTAGTGACACTCTTCTGTAAAAAAGAGGATGTCTTTTTTTTCCCTTTTCCTCTCTGTCTCTTGAATTCTCTTTTTAAGTATCACTATGGAATGTGGATTTTTCAAAAATTTTATTCAATGTTATAATCCATTACTGTCATCATTTTCTTTAAAGCCTGTCACCTTATTATCACATATGGTAAAATCATATAAGTTGACATGAACTTGGCTGAGGTGAAAGGAAACATAAAAACTCAGTGCTGCTGAAAGGCAGGAGGTCTGCCCTTATCAAAGACAGGGTTCCTTGCAGTAGAGATTGTGAACCCCACAGAAATGGGGTAGTTCTGATGAACATTCAAAGCTAGGGGCGTGGCAGCATACAGTAATAGTCACTGACAGTTATCCATATAACCACTGCCAAGCCACCCACTACAGAAGTATCTTCATATATGACGACTTGCTGAGATAGACGAGGACTTCAGTGTAGTACCAGGAGTAAATTTAGGATCCCTCTTCTTTAGGTGTTTGTATAGTCATTTGCTTATAGATAAACTACTATTATATTTTCTAATATAGTATGCCTTGCCCTTCAGCAATGGGGCCAATTTTTGGGACCCTGAGAATCTGCAAACATAAAATAAGCTTTCTTCTTTGAAATCATCCAAAAACTAGGTCGCTACGTGATCCAAGAGGTAACTATGGCAGAATGTCTAATACTGTTAAAATAACCTCAGAAATGCTTTTAGAGACCAGGAATATTTGGAGTTTGTTATAAGGCAGCATTCAGAATTAGAGTATCATCTGTGATTAAGTTCTAAAGCCTGAATCTTATTTTGAATAAAAAGGTGACATTTTCTCTGTTTGAGTCACAATTACTGACATTTGAATAGAGAATCCAGACAATGCTTTAAAGTAAGGTGCAGCTATTGTAATATAGGAGATGGGAAAAAATTCATTTCTGTACCTGTGACAGCATCCTCAAGGCAAAGAAAGCCCTCCACATTTAATTTTGACACCATGATGTTTGGGGGAAAAAAAGTTATCTGAAGTGACTCTCCAGATGTTTTAAGAGGTGTTTAAAGCATTGTGCAGGCCTGACAGCATGAGGTCTCTCTCTCAGCATTTGTAATTTCTCCAAAGTAAGGAAGGCACTCTTTTAATCAAAACAAGGCAACACATTCTATTGTGAGTGACTGGTAAGAACAAAGCCATAGAGCAGCAGCTGAAAAGGCAACAGTGAGCTGTGCTCTTTGGAAAGTTGGGACAACCAGGACTCGGGCTATTAAGAAAAAAAGAGATAGAGAGATGAAAAAAAAAATCCAGATGCAAAAATGTCAATGATGCCAACACAGACCAAAAGTGGTTAAGAGCCTTCAGAGAGTGAGTATATTTAGAGCAGCCCAGGCCGCTGAACTAATCTGCTCTACCTAGAACAGAAAAGCCTCTGTCCCAGTGGAAGAGAATAATAGTTCAATTAAACAGGTTACTGCATTTCATAGAAATCCTGTCCAGAGAATGGAATCTGTCCTGTTCTGGTCAGAGAGCTGGAAGCAACTAAAATATATAAAATATAAATTATTATATATATATTATATATATTATATATATATATTATATATATATATAAATATATATTATATATAAAATATAATCAGAGGAACAGGACATTAAACATTTCTGTGTTCCAGGACCTATTTCTAATGGCTTAATATACGTTTACTGTTTTAAACCTTACAACAGCCTTTTGAAGTCAGTACTATTATTATCATCATCCCTATTTTTAGATTGGGAAGTTGAGACACAGAGAGGTTAAGTAACTTACCCAAATCAACTCAGCTCACAAATAGCAGAGCTGGGAGTCAAGCCCAGGCACTTGAGCTCAGAGCTTGCAGATTTAACCATGAGGCTGCACTTAGAGCAATAACATTGTAAACCCCACACCAAAAAAAGTATATAAAATTATAATAAGTATCAAAACTAGGATCCAGGAAGCATGTAAGAGTGACGGGATCCAGACAACTGCTGGCAGCTTTGCTTTGCTAAAACGGAGTAGGGTCCACTTTTTATTGCTCCGTCACTTAGAAGGTTGAAAATGCCATAAGGAAACTAGACTATGGACTCAGTTCTGTCCAATAGACCATGTGATTTTCACTGTCAAAATGACAAGGGCATATCATCCTTTGACATACCCTAGGACAAGTGGTCCCAAAGTGGAATGCCTAACACTCACTGGGAGAGCTTATTATAAAAGTGCATGTTCCTTGATAGTACTACCAGATTCTGATTCCATAGGTCTGCAGCGCACTTGGTCAGTCTACATTTTTGGCCAGGAGTTCCAGGTGATTCTGGTTCACTGGATGGAGGAGAAAGCTTTGACAAACACCAGACTACACTCTAAGAAATCCAGTTTCAAAGAAGTTTAGAGAAAAGACCGGTATGATTCTTTAATCTTAAAGAGATTGATATAAAGGAATTCAACCCCCAATATGATAAGAGACTATGAAAAATTATAATCTAAGTGTAAAATAAAAAAAGAATTCTAGTGGGACTGAGCTGCTAAGAAGGCAAGAAGGTTGTATGTAGTTATGTAAGACAACAGGGATAAACCAAGTACCTATTCCCTCAGATTCTACAGTACAAATGGGAAAGGAAAACTATTGAAAAATGGCATCCAATAGTCCATTACAGAATACAGGTAAGAGCTCATGTGTGAAGCTGTAAAGTCAGAACCATTCCAGAAGCACATGACAGCAGAAAAGTCAGAGAGGGACTTTCCCTCCTTTGGAAGAGCAAAGCTACAGCTCCATTCAGCATGACTGAGCAACTGCTGGCAGCAGCAAGCATTCTGAGACCCGGGGGGTTTACAAAATGAATCAAATGTACTTCCCTGCTCTCTCTGAACTCAATCTAATAAGGAGACTTCGCTAATTATTTTGTCATCTCTGTATTTTCTGAACTTCAGTGTTCAAATATCATGCTTCAACATTGAGTCCCACCTATATGCTTGTTTGTCTAAGGTATGCTGTGGGTTGATGGAAAGAGACACACACACACGCACAAACACACACACACACACTAATCATACATACTGTAGACATACACACTAAACACATACACCTACCCCTACCACCTACACCACAAGAGGAAAATTCAATGCTTGTTTTACTAAACAAAGGCTAGAGGAACCTTGTGGATAACAGCCACCTGGAACAGGAGCAGGTGGAGAATATGTCGTCTAAACTATTTCTCAAGTCACACTACCAAACCTGTCCCTGACAGTTGCCATCAACCCTATAAGGAGAAGCTAGGGTCTTGCCAAATGCAGGAGCTTAATTTTATACCATTACCCCAATGCTTTCTTACTTAAATCTTACATCATTGTTCATAAAGAACTTAGATAAATATTTCTATTTAAGACTATGGCTTTCAAACTTGCTTGGCTATGATTTACGAAAAGAAATTCATCTTATTTCCATTTGTCCATCCAATTCATTTAACATATATTAACATAATGCTCCCAGGTGCGGGGCACTATTCTAGATGCAGGGGATTCTGCAATGAACAAAACAGTTTGAAATCCTTGTTCTCATGAAGTTTACATTCTGCTGGAGAAGGCTGACAATAAACAAGTATAATATAATCATAGGTCAGATGTTAATAAAGTAACAGAGGAAAACAAATCAGAGAAGGAGAAACAGGGAATGCTAGGACACTGGGTGAGGTGAGGATGGCATTTTAAATAGGGCAGCCAGGAAAAGCCACACCAGGAACATGATATCAAACACAGTCCCTTAGGAGGAAGAAGAGGGGACATGGGGTATCTTTGGGAAGAAAAGTAAAAACAACCATCAAAACTGGTATGCTAGAAGTAACCCCAGAAAAAGTGTCTTCTGGTCCCATTTCTGCCTATAGTGGGCTTTAGAAAAGTCACTGTCCTCTCTGAGCCTATTTCCTTCTATGTAAAATGAAGGAACACCACTTGATTCTTTCCAAGCTCTTTTCTGGCTGTAACATTTGCCAGCATCTGTGTTCTAAAGAGCCTCTTCTATCTCATTCAGGGCAGACATATATGTAAATACACACATATATGTATATGTATGCCTATATGTACATAACATACAAAAATGGTGGAACTAAATTCCATAAATATCCTAATTATATGCAACACACTCTTACTGTTTTCTGTTTTGTTCTATTCTGTTCTATTTCATTTTTTAAAATGCTGATTGCACCTAAGAAATTCAAGAAAAAGAAAAGCTAACTCAGTATTGGAGGCTTCCTCTGCCCTGAGCTTTGAGCAACCCGGAAAGCCCATGTGCCCACACAGGCTGATAGAACCAGTGGAGAGCTGGTCAGACAGCTCTGCCTCAAATTCCAATTCTATCACTGCTTTCTTTGACCTTAAGCAAGCTACACAACAACCCTGAGGCTTAGGTTTCTTATCAGTATAATGGAAATGACAATAAGGACTAAACCATAAAATACAGTGTACTGGCTGATCCAGTATCTGGCACTTAATAAGTACTTAATAAATTGGTGGTGGTGCTGGTAATAGAGGTTGAGACAAACTAGAGCAAAAAACAAAGGCTTCCTCTAACCAGGCCCATAGAATAAAAAATGTTAAGAGAAACTGAGCTAGATACTATGAATAGCCAATAATTCTCCTGGCAACAAATGTCACAGAAGGAAGAATGTGAGACTCCAAACTGTTTCTCTCATTCCTAAACCCTCTTTCCTCCCTCTTCAGCAAACTGTATGGAAATGGATTTGAAGAAATACAAAGTCATGCATTCAATGGGACGACACTGATTTCCCTGTAAGTATGTGCTTATTTTCCCAGCTCATGAATAAAAATGAAATATTACTCAGGCTACCAGATCACATTCAATCTTCAGCAACTAATTCAGGACAAAAATAAACTTTCAAGTGGCTAGTCCTCAGTGTTTCATGCATGTTACTAGGCAACTAGCTGGCTGAATACCCCAGAGCACCCTGATTTCAAAGACATATGCAGCCTCGATACATTTAAGTTGACAGTTTGCTGAAATATTCAACACCCTACTTTAGTCTCCTCTATCTCAGATTTGGTCTCTAGCTCCCTCACTCAGGCTGATGGCTTATTAGAGGCAACACGATTTCAGCGAAGAAGTTCTCCCCCTGGCCCCACTCAAGAGAAACCAGGTAATATCATTTATTAGCCTCATCAACCACAGTAGGCCCACTCACAGTCCCATCACCCGCCTGCTGGGGGTAGGTTGCTCATTTTCCAAAAGGTTTGGCAGTCTTGCATTTTCCCCACACCCTATCCCAGTCCCAGTGTTAAAAGCCTTTAACTCAAGGGGAGCATCCCTACTGTTCCCTTCATTGTTCTCAACCTCTCCTTCTTCCTAACGGCTCCTTTTCCAGAAGAGTGGCTCATTCACAAAGCATGCTGGACTAGGGCCACTTGAATCATAACAAGTACAGGTGAGGAATATCACCCTATATATTGTGCATAATAAAAACTAACAGTACATCAAAAGCTCAACCGAAGCCAAAATTAAGGAAAATAACAAACGAAAGGTTTTTAGTAATAAATAAGTTGTATAAACCATGGTCTACACCAGTACTTCTCCAATTTTAAGATATATATAAGAATAGCATGGAGATTGTTACAACACGTATTTCCAGATCCTACCCCAGACACTTTGCTTCACCAGGCCCACGGTAGGGCCCGAGAATCTGCAATTTTAACAGGCCCCCAGGAGATGTTGATGCTGCCCGTCTGAAGGTGAGTTGCATAAATCTATATAATATGCTATTTAACTATCAATATAAACCAAAGACCACATTATAATAATACCTGCTCTAGAGCTTGGTGGCTAAGAGAACAGATCTAAGAGTCACTGACTGGGTCTCAAACTCTAGTCCTATTGTTTATCAGCTTGACCTTGATCAAGTTAACCTATCTAAGTCACAGTGTTCTCATCTAAATGGAGCTGCTAATGGGCTTGTTTTGAGGATACCCCACCAAAATGAAACGGTCTCTTTTGTATCCTCAGTACTTAACACAGTACCCAGCACAGAGTAGGTGTTATTTATTATTTATTGCATTATGTTGCTCATTAATTATGAATGAATGAACAGTGAATGGTAAATAAGATTATATTTTTATGCTCCTAGCAGCATCTGGCACATACTAAGTGCTCAAGAAATGGTAGCTTTTTAAAAGTTGTCCTTCCTATCATGCAGTGAATTTTTCCTCATTTTCTTGTTGATGTGAGTTTAACAAAGGGTTCACTCCAGCCAATTAAACCTGTGTCTGCCAAATTTAAATCACAAGCCTATCCTCTCCTGGCACGGGGCTTTCAGATGCCTCATTACATTACTCACTGAACAAGTGTTTGCCAAGCATGAGCTGTGTTTGAAGGAACATACCAGATTTTGAGGGAAAAGGAAAATGAATACACCCTAATGTTCACCCACAGGAGCTTATTGCCTGGGAAGAAGCATCTCCAAATGGTATATAAACCATACACTAAGTGGTAACTAAGAACACAAAGCACAATGCCTGCCTTTAGAGAGGTAAAGTCCTCTAGGATTTCAAAGCCTCATGAGAGAGACAGACTTTGAGTTGGGACTAACTTGGACAGGCAAAGATAGATGGAAAATGCATTCTGGACAGAGGACCACAAAAAGAAAGGCGCAGGGGAGGAAGCGTGAGGTATGGTCATAGATAAGCAACAGTGCCTTTTAGAAAGTTCTAGATGTGGGTTAGGGAGAAGCAGGAAGTGCCTGAGATGCTAAAGAATTTGGACTCTCTCCTGTAGAAAATGAGAAACCATTGAAAGTTCTGGGATGGGAAGCTTGGGGGGATACTTAAAGAAGGTTCATCTGTTAGCAGGGAGGACAGAGGGCTGGAAGGGGCAGGCCAGCGCTGGAGACACAGGTGTCAGAGAGATCTGAATAGAGGAGGTGGCTGAAGTCCTTACTGGCTGAGGTCACCTGAACAAAGGGTAAAAATAAGAGAACTGAATATAAAGTTGGAGATAAAACAAGAGATGAAGAAGAGAAGCAAAAGCAAACAGAGGTAGAAGGAAAACCAAGAGAGTAAGTATATCCTTGGGAGGTCAGGAGAAATAGGACTTTAGAAAGGAGGGCATTGGTCAGCAGTGTCTCAGCTGCTTCAAAGATGCCAAAACAGGTGTGGACTTGGAAAAGTTCAGTAAAGATTCAGTATCCCTACACCTCATTGTTTCGAGAAAGTGGAACCCAAGAACACAAATAAATTTATTTCATTTATTCATTCAACAAACATTCATTAAGCATCACTGATTAATTAGTCACTATGTTAGGGGCTGGGTCTAAAATGGTAGACTAGAAACAGTCCCTGACCTCATGAAGTTTTTGTTCTAGCAGAGGAAACAGAGAAAAGGGCAGGTAAATAAATGAACTTACTGCAGATAGAGATATAGTCTATTAAGGAAATAACCCACTACTGGAATCTGAGAGCATACAGGGGGGTGACTGACTTTAGGTTAATTAGGTGTTCAGGAATAGCCTCACTGAGGAGATGATATTTAGGCTAAGCCTAAAGGATGACAAGGAGTCCATTGTGGCAACAGTGAGGGGAAGCACATTACAGAAAGAGGGAGCAACATGCGCAAAGGTCCTGAGTTGGGAAAGAAAAGTTGATAAGCTCTAGGAAGTGAGAGAGAGAGAGAGGCCAGTGTGGCTGCAGGGTCATCAGCAAGTGGAAGATTGTTATGAGATAAACCTGGAGATGGAGCAGGAGTATGATGGAGCAGGATCATACAGAACTGAGGGGCCACAAAGAGGAGTTTAAATTCTCTTCCAGGAGCAAAGAGACCCACTGATGGATTTTAGCAGGGAAGGGAGAGTAGTTTTCAAAACAGTCAAGCAAAAATTGCAAACTATACATTCAGCCCAGGGTCTGACACCTTCCTCATATATAGGCCTGTCCAAAGTCATTCAGAACAATGATACCAAAGCCCCGCAAAGTTCTGAAACACACTGCTTACAAAGGCAGGACAGGGTGGAGGGGAGCAGCACCAGAAGTTTGCCCAGGAGACTCCTCCAGGAATCTGAGAGTAAGTCCCTCATCCTTCCCAGCACACCCAGTTAGGAAAGTTTTGGATGGAGTTTGGGGGTTCTCCCACTGTGCTTCTCACACCTGGAGGACCATGCCACTGGGGAGACTTCCCAAATACAACCCCCAGGAAATGTGGGAGATGAATTTATTTTTGACCAAGTTACAGAATGCAGAGTTATCAGTATACAGAAAGATCTGAGTTTTAATAAAATATGTGAAATGCTCTGTCACAAAATTTGAACAATTAATTTGACCTGGCTAACATGAGGATTATTTGTTCACAGAGCCTAGTTTCAATGATTTATGACGATAACTGAACACAATTAAAACAAACCCAATCAGGAAAAAGAGACATGGAGATTTGGGAAGGAAATTTTCTTTTTATTTAGATTTTAAACAGCAATTGACTCTGACAACCTCATCTCTTTGGAAGTGGAACTACACCTAGGGGATGGGACGATGTGAGACTGACAGGTGCATTCTGATGAAAGGGCTGAGGATTTCCAAGGAAAATGCTTTAGTAGAAGAAAAACAGTGCAATTAGCTTGGTAAAAGGGGGAACTTTGAATGGGCCCTATTGTTTCATTTAAGTAAAGTATTTGCAAAGTTCAGGCTTACTCTCTTGGTTTTCCTTCTACCTCTGTTTGCTTTTGCTTCTCTTCTTCATCTCTTGTTTTTTACTACTAGTACTTAGTAGAAGTAGAAACGCTGGAAAACAGCCACCAAGGGAGTGAGGTGCAGCGGATTTTGCAGTTTTTAAGCAGCAGGTGTGATGTGGAGACATTCAGGAAGATGATGAAGAGGATGTAAAGCTATGAGACAGCCAGATAACTGCCTAGGCATCCTGCGAAGGAAAGAAGAGTGAGTGCTGGTATATTTGTTCTGCCAGGTAACACTAACAGTGGTACAGAAGATTCATGTTCCCGTACTTGAAATCACCATGCCACCACTAGATGTACACTGTGCTGTTAGGGTACTTGAATAAGCACCCTTCTCTGGTAAGAAAAAAGTGCTCAAAAGGCTGGCAAGCCTGAACCCAGGCACCACTCCCCTAGCTTCCTGTCCACTCAGAGAAGGGCCTGGGCTTGTAAATAACAGCATCAGGGCCAGAAGGCTGCTCATCAGGGCCAGGCTGAGCTGTGCCTGAGCAGTTCATCCTGAGCTGCTTTGAGCTAAAGGGAACAGAGCCCTTACATAGCTATTGCGTGGCAGCTTTGCCTTTTGCACAGTCCTAAGATCAGTGACCCTCAACCCTTTTGTTCCCACAACATGCACAGGAGGCAATGACCATAACACAGCCCAAGACCCATGGGGCACCCAGGATGTGGGGCAATTTGCTACAGGGCTGTCCTTCCTCCCCTTTCACATCCACTGAGAAATGCATACTTGAAAGAAAAACAGTGCAATTAGCTTGATAAAAGGGGGAACTTTGAATGGACCCCACTGTTTCATTTTAAGTAAAGTATTGGCAAAGTTCACTATATTACTTTTAACAAACTCTGAGGCCTCCAAGGTCAGCACAGCTGAGAGCCTGATACAGAGTAGGCTGCATTTCCACCCTGCAGCCTTGAACACTGGTGCAGCATTTCATCCATGCCCAGCTATGTAAGGAAGTAAATTATTCTTTACTCCAGGACAGAGCAAAGCAGGCAAGTTCTTAAAGTTGCAGGACAAAGGGTTTCACTGAGTGAGGAGGAAATAACAGGAAAGCTGGGGCCAAACACACAGTCCAGCGATTTCACAATTTTGCCCAGTGCTGGCATGTCCTTTTTCCACTTTCCCAACAGTCCCAATTTTCCCTGTCCAACCCTGAGCATCATGTACAGAGGCTGCTCCAAACATGTGTGTACACACTGATGACTGTTAAAACGTAAGTTGCAAACTCCAGTAAGGACACTGTCCTTCCCCACAGGGAGCTAAAGGAAAATGTACACCTGGAGCAGATGCATGATGGAGCCTTCCGGGGAGCCACAGGGCCCAGCATCTTGTGAGTACAGTGGTGCTGCCCTCCTCCTCACCCAGGGCACCTCAACAGGCCTCCTCGGGGGGTCCAGCCACAGTGTCCCCAACCTGGTTGTGGAAAATCAGCTCTTGTGTGAAAGGACTACCATAACACAGCACCACAAACTGGGGGCCTGAACAAGACATTTGTTGTCTCACGGTTCTAGAGGCTAGAGGTCCGAAATAAGATATGGGCAGGGTCATTCCCTCGGAGGGTTGTGAGGGCAGGATCTGTTCAGGCTTCTCCCCTTGCTGCTGGTAGTTGCTTCTAATTGTGGCAATGTACCTCCAACCTTCACATGGTATTCTCTCTGTATGTGTGTCTGTCTAGGTTTCCCTCTTTTAATAGGACATTAGTCATACTGGATTAGGGCCCATTCTATTGACTTCATTTTAACTTCATTACCTCTGTGAAGACCCTATTTCTAGATAAGGTCACTTTGAAGGACTGGGGGTTAGGACTCTGACATATGAATTTGGGGGATGCACAATTCAGCCCTTTATACCAAAAACGGAGGACCACATCATGTGCTTGCAGAGGGCATGGCTGCCCACCTGGCACCTGCCCATGGGCACCCAAAACCAGAGATCTGACTTGCCAGCAGCCCTTGGCTGGTCAGGGCTGAGCTGCAGTGTGTCAGGCTCTCTGAGGGTCCAAGGTTCAGAGCCAAATTCCCTCCAGTATTGGGAGTGAAGTGTATGGACACAAGGGAAAATTGAGAGAAATAGGAAATTGAATCAGTGGTCTCCTGACAAAGCCTTGGGAAGCCAGAAATATCCTGCAGGAAACAGCTGCAGCTGCAGTTAGGCTTCAAGGACAAATGCAACAGTATTCCAGATACTCTGCAGCTCTAACATGAGGTGCCCTCATCACCCACTCCACAGAGGTACCAGTCCATTACTCCTCATTCTAGTATGCTGTTATTTATTGAACAAGCACTGACTGAACACGTCCCGTTTAGCAGGCACCATGCTGGAGAGACCACTGTTGAGTAAAAACAGCTCTGGGTCCTGCCCTTAAAGAGATTACAGTCACACTGCAGAGACAACAATAAACAGGCAAAGCAATAAACGGACATGTAATTTTAAAATGAGAAAAGTGCTAGAAAGATAGTGTATTTGTTTGTTCATTCATTCATTTACCCAGTAACTATTTTATAAGCCCATACTATGTGCTAGGCACGGTTTTAGTCATCAGGGAAACAGCAGAGAACAAGAAAAATAAACATGTCTGTCTTCATAGAATAGGGGAAGACAGACAGGGATCACATAAGTAAATAAAATATGTAGTATGCCAGATGGTGTTAGTTGGGAAGGAGAAAAATTCAGTTGGTTGGGGGAAAAGAAGTTCTGGAGAGGGGAAGCTACCATTTGAAAGAAGAGGGTCAAAGAACACCATCTTGAAAAAAATGTCATTGATGGGGGCCAGTTATGTGGATTATCAGCAGGAATAGTATTCCAGGTAAAGGGAACAGCAACAGCCAAGGCCCTGGGGCAGGAACTGGCTTCCACATTGGAAAAACAGGAAGGAGGCTAGTGTGGCAGAAAGAGCAAAAGAGGAGAGTCCTAGAACATAAGGGCAGAAGATAACAGCCAGCCAGGCCACAGAGGGCCTGTGCCCATTATAAGGACTTTGCCTATTCTCTGAGTGAAATGAGGAGGCTTTAGAGTTTTGGTCAGAGGAAGGAATAAACTGACCCAGTTATTTTTTTTATCCTAGCTCCTGCCAGTATCATCTCATGACTCTATTTTCTATCTTCCACCATTATAAACCCCAAACTCTGTCTACTTCTTAGTTCTTGCCACATCAACTCCTATCTACATCCTAACTCCTGCTATCAACTCTTGACTCTGTCTACTTCCTACCCCTGCCTCTGTCAACCCCTGACTGTGTCTAGTTCCTAGCTCATACTACTATCAACTCCTGACTTCATCTACTTCTCAGCTCCTGCCACTGTCCATTCTGCCTCTACTTCTTAATTCCTGCTACCATCAACACCGGACTCTGTTTATGTCCTAACTCCCACCCCTAAAACTCCTGACCTTCTCCACCTCATAACTTCTGCCATTGACAATCCTCTCTACTCTCCACTCAACCTCATGACTTCTGCTAACTTATGGCTCCTGAGACCTCATGGCTCCTGCCCACTGCTTTCTCTGCTCTCAGCTTCTGCCACTGTACTCTAGGGGTCCCTATCTATATGTCTCTTATTCAAAGTACACAAGACTCAGAATCTTATTGGTTGGGTGAATATGCAGAGCTTTTACAGCATGCTGGCCACCTATCCAGCCACTGGACAACCAAAGAGAGTTGCCTCTGGGACAGGTGTGGGATATGACAGTGTCATCACAACACCCTGCTTGACGGTCTTTGCTTAAAGACCTGCTTTGTCAGCCTGACTAGAAATGACTGTGAGCACTGGAGGCATGTACGCTGTCTTGTCCAGAACAGTGCGACCAGACCTAGGTCTCTTACTTCCCAAGCAGCTGTTCTCATTACATCCTTAGGATTTAAGTGCTGTCTAGAAGCATTAGTTCCACCTACACCTCAAAAATATTTTGATCATTGGTCCTACAGAGATTGAAAATCTATTATTAGAGATTCACTCCTTAGTAATGATTCCTTGCCATTTCTAGAATGCTAACTCAAAATTTATCTCCTCAAAAAATAAAAACTAAAAACCAAAACCACTAGGCTTGCAAAGTCATGTGCTCAATCCCTAACACATCTGAGACAGTAACATCATAGAGCAGGATGAGAACACAGGTTACCAAAATCGACAAGGACACAAAAGCAGCACAAATCTGCAGCCCAAGGTGAATTCTGCTGCCTTGATTGATCCACCAAGAAGGTTCCCTCACTAGTCATCATTGCACGTTGTCAAGTTCATGTGTCCATCGGGCACCTGTGGATCTCCTCCCATGTGCTGGGCCCTAAGCACTGGGAAACGGTGCTGCTGGAAAAGTCTCGGAGCACCAGCAGCAACCTAGAAGATAGGGGGAATTTTTTAATTCTCACACTCTCTTCATTCTCCTCACATTTAATTTGTTCTGAGTGCTCTCAGACATTGCCTCAAGTCTAGAAAAACCAAGAAGCTCAAGAATTTATTTACAAAACCTGAGCTTTCTACCCAGTTCTGCTTGCTTGACAGAGTGTATGCTTGCTTTGGAATGCCTTTAGAGAAAATGCACTTGCTTCCCAAGTAGATGATGGATAAGGCCACACAGTGGCTCTTAATAGTGCAACTAGCCTGTGCTTTGTGAAAACCTACCCTGCAGGGCTTGATCAGTCAAAGACCGAGGTGTCTGGAGCCCTAAATAGTCCCCCGTGGGGCAGAGCAGAAAAGCTGATGTCACTGCATATGCCTGCTGTCTCATAAAGTGAGCAGTTATTTCACTTCTCCTAAGTGGAGAGAGGTGGGGGAAGGGAGAGAGGAGAGGGCAAAATCAGGAGAGGGAAGAGACAGAAATGCTAATGAATACATGGCAGGTACAAGGAGTTATGCTCAACCATGAAAGCAATGAGGCACATATTAAAAAAATACAGCATAGTTTTTTTAAATTTAGAGCTTAATGAGAGTAATTAAATGGAGAATTAGGGCAAAGGCAAGATGGAGAAAAGATCCCTTAGAACCTAAATGACGCTATTATTGAGGTTTTATTCTATGAATCACATGAAAAGAAATAGAAAGCCCTTCTCCCTTTCATTTTTCAGGGATATTTCTTCCACCAAGCTGCAGGCCCTGCCTAGCTATGGGTTGGAGTCCATTCAGACACTAATTGCTATGTCATCCTATTCTCTAAAAAAACTGCCATCAAGAGAAAAATTTACCAATCTCCTGGATGCCACCTTGACCTACCCCAGCCACTGCTGTGCTTTTAGAAACTTGCCAACAAAAGAGTAAGTAAAAATAAAAAGTAAAGCCTGCCAAGTTGTGGCAGGAACTCACATTTCAAATAGTCAGTTGGTAGATGGCTTCCCCACACCTTCACTCCCTGCCTTCTCCAGCTCCATAGCCATGGGTCACGTTCAGATAGACAAGAAGATAGACATCTTGTTTCTTCCTGAAAACTGATTTCAAACAGTTGATTCACCTTGCAGATAGAAGACTTTGTAGCCTATTCTGGCCTGGTTGAATTATGGCCTTAAATTAGGCTCTAATTGCAGCTGCAAAACAGAGTACAAAACTGGCATCTCAAAGATCAATTAGTTCTAATCCTTACCAGAGAGCATTATTTTTAAAGAATCATGTTCAAGAGGATAAATTTTACCTCATGTCTTAACCTTTAATGCAAAGAAACAAAGGACACAAAACGCTTTAGAAAGTTCTTGTTTTCTTTTTTAAAGCTATTTTTATCCCAGCAGAAGATCATTATCCCTTTCAGAACAGAATTCTAGCTCCCTAAGGATTAGCTTAGTGCGTGAACAAAAAAAGCACAAGCTCCTGGCTAGTACTTGTCAGTGGGGGGCATGTTACCGATTGAACGGACTCAACTGATTCACTTCAATCCAGAATGCAAAGGCACTGTGTGCAGGATTTCATTCTTTCCTTAAAGTATTGTTTTCCAAACTTGCTTTGACTGAGATGCATACTAAGAAACATCTTTTTTACATTACGTGTTGAATATGTAACTGAAATAAAACAATAACTAACTTTTCTACATGTGATATACTCTGATATTTTGTCTATTTTACTCCACTTTATTTCATGTGTGTTTGTTTTTAATCCTAGTCTTGATACACTCTATTGTTTTCATGACCCACTAATGGGTCACAACTCAGAGCTGGAAAAATATTGCCCTGAAGGGACATTATGTACCCTAAGAAAATACACTTAATCAATTAATTAGATGAGGACCTAAAAGAGTAACATTAGGATGCTGCTGTCTTTGTTTGAAATCAACTTATTTATGATTAACCAACCAGCAGGTATTATTGTACACTGACTTAGTGCCTTGCATAGGTACAAGAAACTTTTGAGGTAACCCAAAAATAAAGCATCTGCTGTGCTCAGAGAGTCATGCACCATTCACTGAGTTTCAGAGAACATCAGTGGAGGCCTTACCATGTTCTGAACACCACACAAGTCTGAAGACACAAAGATGAGTAAGAGCTCATGCCAACCATCACAGAGTCACAACCAGCTATGTGAGGGGACATACAAGAGAGCCAATGCTTAAGAACAATACAACAAATATTATGATAGAGCCGAGGACAGAACAGAGTGCTCTGGGAGCACAGCAGAAGAGTTTCTAAATGGCAGCAGGGATTATGAAAGACTTTTTTCTTGAGGAAGTGACTTCTGCTGAGCCTTGAAGAACAGGCAGTAGCTGGCTAGAAGATATGGCTAAAAGCATGCCCAGAAGACAAAATAGGTCCTGTGAAGGCAGAAAGGCAAAAGACAGTAAGATGACAGTCACTCAGAAAAACTGGAGCAAGAAGACTTATGAGTATATGAGTGAGGAGAAAAAACTAGGAGAGGTGGGGGCTATGATGGGCTCTGAGTGCCAGCCCAAGTTTTTAGCCAATGAGAAATCATTGAAGCATTTAAAGCAAAATTACTCAGATTTGCTTTTGTAAAATATCACTCTGGCAGCAGGGTGGAGGATGGGTTGGAGGTGAGCAAAGCTAATAAGAAACCAGTTAGGAGAGCAATACAAATGCTGGTTTATGAGAAAGCTGATTTTGGACACCTCCACTTCCATGGCAAAGAGATCACATCTCTTCTGAAATTACTGGCATGTAAAAACTTCAGTTCAGAGGCAATCGCAAGTCAGTATCAAAGTGAAATAGTCACACAGAAGTTGTCTTGATTAGGGTTATAAGCTTTAACTGACTCCTGTTTTCCTAAAGCTCAAAACTTTGATTGTTAGTGAAGACGGAGAGCCAGAAGCTGGGCCAGTGGAATGTTTATGCAAACTCTGAGTCACCTCTCTGCCCTGCAGCTGCTGCGCCTGGATAACATACACAGCTGCCTGGGCAGACAGCCCCCAAAATCTGCTATGATTAAAATTTCAAAAAAGGTAGAGTAGATGGGACCCAGTGCTACTGTTATCTGAAGGCCAAGAACAACCACATGTCCTGTTAACTATGGATAGGTTCACACACAGTATTTCCAAGTATCAGATAGAACCTGCATTAAACACACACACACAAAATTTTATCCAAACTTGAGGATTTATAATCCTGACTCAAAATAACAAGCTAATTTTTGAAAGTTAGTCCAGAAGCTCTGATAGTTCTGATATATCCCCCTTTGTGCTTTTATATAAAGTTGTTCCTACAAGAAATTATCTTGTTAATATTGGAGTATAATACATAGAAATGTCCAGTTTGAATTGCCTCATTTCTCCTTCCTCCTCAGGAAAGGTTGAGGTGTCACAGCCTGTTCTCTTTCCTCTATTTTTTCATCCAGTTTTCCTTTGTGCCTTCTTTTGGTTTCATCTTTGGAATGTAAGTATACCCCTTCTTTTGATTTCTTGATAGCTCCCCACTTTCCATACTCTAAACTTCTTAGACAGATGAGTAGGGAGCACATACATATACTTCTGCACATAAGTGAATGAAGCAGAAAATTCACATCATAATGTCAGGTCCAGTTATTATGTTACCGGAAATCAAAAGAGATTTCCCAGTTACAGTTCAAAACCATGAACTCTGAATGGTTATTTGTTCATCAGGACCAATGTGGTAAGAAGAGTGGTGAGGAGCAAACCTTAATATGCCATAAAGGTAGATTTTAATCAGCACTGAAAAACCTATGATTCAATATGATAAATTTGACTTTTTTTCATTTTGAGAGCCCACACAAAACACTTAGCATTCAGAAGCATTTTATCTAAGCTGGAAGCACTCTCATGACAATTCAGAAGCCTTTACTCTCTCCCCAGGAAGCGTTTCAGTAGGACAATAGCACAGAACATGACACGTGTAATAGGTAAAGAATTGGGATGAACAAAGCATAGACAGACATAATCAGGTTTAGTTTAAAGACCAAACACTCACTGCTTCTTTTTTTTTTTTACTCTTCTCTTTCAGGCAGAATTTTTCATTTTCCATTTTCGAAAACTTTTCCAAACAATGTGAAAGCACAGCAAGGGGACCAAGTAATGAAACACTGTAAGTATCTGCAAGCAAAGAAACTCAGGAAGCCATATCTCATTCTGTGTGCACCTTATTATTACCAGTGCCAATGATTTTCTTTTGAAAAAAGTCTTGGTTGGGAGGATATTTGCAAAGCATTTTTAATAGCTTTAAAATGGGAATTTTTTCTTTGCAAGTAGCATCTAGTTGATCAGGTATCTGTTTCAACTGGTTAAAAAAAACTCTTTTAAATATGAACCCAGGTGTTCATTCTACAACTACATTAAATTCTCAGAAGTTAAACTTTTATTTGCAGGTATTTTGATGTCACTAAGGGCTTTAAATGATAAGCTTCACTTGTAGGAACTTTCACGTGGTCAGCATTTTGCGAAGATTAAATGACACAGCTTCTAGAAATAGCCAATTCCCTTCAGAGACTTAGCCACCTTGACCACTGCGCTCTAGAGCATGAAGTTATTCAACCTTAATGCTATCACTAAGGTACACTGGATGGGAGCTCCATTTCTATTCTGAAGACAGATTTTGTTAACATTTTTCCTGGCTGCCTTGGCATTTCACATGCTTTCAAATTGAAAAGAGCATGCCTCAAAAGATAATCCCAGTGTCCCCATGCCACATTTACTATGATTTAGAAATTATATTATTCCCTCTGTGTCCTTCAGGCTCCAAAACCAGATGCCCTTCTAAGATACATAGCCAATCTCCATTCTCTCTTCTGTATCTTTTTCCTTTCCTCTTCTTTTTTCCTACCAATTTGCAAGTTATATAGAGACAGCAGGGTAGTATGATGGAAGGACCCTGAGCTTCAGTTAACTTATATCAGAGTTTGATATGAATCCTTGGCAGTAATATTCCTGTAACAAAGGGCATCCCTGGACATACATATCTTTTTGATGCTATTCCTCATCTGTAAGGGATCATTTGGCTTTCAGAACCATAAGAGTAAAGGGATCTGCTAAAGAATGTGATAGCACCTAGGATACATTAGAAATATTATACTGTGTATCCTTCTTTTCCTTTTCTTTCATTTAGGTCTGACACATCTATCCTCCAGTGATCCTTTTTCTCACCCTTCCTACTCTTCTCACTCAATATTCTCTATATCCATTACTTTCCACAGAACTCTTTTGCAATAAGGCTTTTTTCTCATTAACAGGAAACCATTTCTGGGTAGAGTCAATGGTAACAAGGAGTTGTTTGAGGAGAGGGAAGACTTCAGCCCACTCTCAACAATCCTCATCAGCCCCCTCCCCAAGCCTTCCTTCCCAAATGAGCATGCAATCTTGAGTTTGCTATACTAACACTGCTTTAAACAAGTCCCTTAATCCCCACCATCCCCACAACTACCTGAAATTAATAAATAATCTAAGTCAAAAGAGTGTGCTCCCTGTGAAAACCTTTTGTAATGACAATTCCCCTTCTCGCCTTCCCACAGATTGCTATTCTTGAGTCTCTGGAGTTTAGAAATTCTAGAGCCAGCCTTACCAACTCTGACCAAAACATCATGTGTATCCTTACTGCTGTGACTGACCCTGTTGTCCTACAACTCCTGTCTTTTCTAGTTTCTTTGTTCATTGTGACTGGAGCAGTGGTGCTTCTGCATCTCCTTCCTCTAACTCAATATTCCTAAGCCTATACAAGTCCATTCACTCTCAGTTGGCAGCACTAGAGACAGCTCTGTGCTGGGTTTTGTCAGTAAGCAAGCTGCTGCCCTCAGGAGTCATCCCAGGACACAGATGTTAAGTAGCAACAATAGGTATTTGGTCTGAATCCAAAATGCCAAAGAGAAAAATTACTAGACATATGCCCAGTAGGACAAAATAAAGGGCAAAGGACCAGGGGAGTGGGAGAGGGAACATATTTGACTTCTTATTGATAAAAATTTATTCAGAAGTAATGGCAGAAATTTTAGAAGCTTTAAATTAGTACCTCCAGCAGCTGAAGGTTTTGATAAGGAGGAAAGAGTAAGGGAAATCAAGGCAGCAATAACTGGAAAGTTTTTACCTGATTTAATAAAGGCAATTATTTCAGGAATCATCCAGGGAACTTGCTTAAAATGTAGGCTCTGTTCTGAGAGTTTGATTCCAGGTTTGAAGTACCAAATTCCCTGGTGATTCTGATGGACAGGATCCAAGGACCACACTTTGAAAAACACTGACTGAGAGAAAGTGAAATAGGGGAAAGGCCCCTGGACTATGGATATGAAGACCTATCACTGCCACCAATGACTAGTGCTCAGGGACCTTAGGCAAGTCACTCACTGCCTTTAATCTTGATCTCCTTACCAATTAAATGAGGGGTTCAATAAGATAGTCTTGAAGAACCTTTCTAGTGCTAAGAAGTAACCTATTTTCTTTAGTTGTTCTTTATAACCACCATCTCTCTTTAAAGATTAAAAAAATAGATAATTATGCTGATGTGCATGAGATGAGGATAAACAAGTGTCCTACTTGTATTTGATAACACAGGTGGGAGATTCCTATGCAGTCTTCTGTACACAGCAGGTCTTCTCTAGTTCCAAATTAGTTTCTATGAAATCCTAGCACCTTTTTGGAATCCTGGGTCATGGAATTCTTTTTCTAAATCTGTGTTCTTTCCCTTCTGTAACTGTACTGCTCAAATACATCATTTTATCACTCAATGAATCAGGTACACACTTCCTAATACAGAACATGAGAAGCTAAGTTTGATAGTTAGAGAAAAATCTTCTTTCAATGTGTGAGGCGTCCTAAGGCAAAATACATACCTGTAATGGCCTTGACAGAAAAATTATACCCATTTCTCCAGCTCCCAAGATTATATTAGCAGACTGTGGGCAAAGAGAAAATTTATTGAACCTATATGCATCGTACTGTACACACTCATGGGCCCTATGTCCTCTCAAATCCTCTCAGAGCCAGGATCACCCTGGCTTATTCATTCCACAAATACTTATTGAAGGATACTTTGAGCCAAAACTGTGTGACGCACTGAGATTTCAGAAATAAGTAAGACCGAGTCCCCTGACTTCAGGACTACAAAAGACTAGCCATTTAATGGACTATTAAAGAAGACATGTATCATCACTAAGGCAACACAGCCTGAAAGTACAATAATACTGAAGTGCAGCCATGGCAGAGAGAAGGGATGACAAACACCTTGACAGTGTAAATCAAGAAAGGCTTCCTACAGGAGCATATCTTTAATGAGAGGAGGGATCCAAGAAAAAGATGAAGAAAGGAAGAAGAAAAAAACAGAACATACAAAGAGGGATGAAACAGTAGATTCTGAAAGCCACAAGTCACTGCATGTGACCAAAGGGAAGGTTGCATAGGGAATTTGCAAGAGATAATTCTAAAAATCCATAACATTCACTGAGCACTTAGTATGTATCAGGCATTATTCTAAACATTCTATATGTGTTAATGCATTTAATCCTTAGGACATCCCTAACAAAGTATGATTATCATCCCTATTTGGCAAATGAGGAACTTGGTGTTAAGTAACTCTCCCAGGTTTGCAGTCTGTAAAGACTGTAACCCAGTGTTGCTCCAGAGCCCATGCTCTCAACTGTGCAGCATTACTGCTTCTCATACTTCTCAGAGATGAGACTGGAGGATGCAGAACCCAGATCAAGTTGGGACAAGGAGGTCATCACAAGGAGTGTGGACTTTATCCCACAGCTACTGAGAACCTAGGAAAAGGTTGTGCCTAAGAAAAGCCATTCCAGGAGGAATGTACAGGTGGACTGGGAGAGGCCTAAAACTGGAAGAAGGATGCCAGGAAGAAAACTAATGTAATAGTCCCATAAGAGTGGATGGAAACCTGACCTCAAGCAGTAGCAGTGGGATTGGCAGGGAGTGGCAGAAGTGGGACTGTTTCATCACTAAGGACAGAGTTCTTTTCCAACTACTCCCTGAATTTGACTCATACCCTCATAGTGTATCTGTTTCTACCATTTCTTCCTACTGTCCATGACTATATTCTTCCTCTGCTCCTCAGTTTTCAGTAGTCTAATTTTGGTTTATTTCAGCTAGCCTAATTGATTAGCCAGGAACATTAAGCACCAGCAAGTACACCAATAACAGACAATCTTCAACAACGTGAGCCTCACAATCCCATCCATGCTCTATGACAGATATAAACAGCTTGAAAGCAGTTTGGCTGACAACTAAACAAGATAAATAGCTAAAATAATAACAAGAAAAATTCTTTTAGTTTAACAAGCATGTATTTGTCTCTAAATTTGTTTTCCAAAAAAAAGCATCCTCTTTAAATGTCTTAAGTCGTTGCATCAATGTGTAAAATCTATATATATCAAAAAAGTCTAAATTGCTTTCTTAAGGAACTCCTACATCAGTTAGTTCTCAGATAATTTAACAAATAAATGTAAGACTGAGGCTGTTGAGGCTTTGTTGCCTTTTGTTTTTTAGCCTTTTAAACAGGATGAGTCTTAAATTTTTTAATACACATAATGATGTAAGAATACACAGTCTCTTAAAGTTTACCTTGAGCAAAGTATTTTTCTTACAGTTATTCCGCCATCTTTGCTGAGAGTGAACTGAATAGCTGGGACTATGACTATAGTTTCTGCTCACCCAAGATACTCCGATGTGCTCCTGAACCAGATGCTTTTAACCCCTGTGAAGATATTATGGGTTATGACTTCCTTAGGGTCCTGATTTGGCTGATTAATATCCTAGCCATCACGGGAAACACAACTGTCCTCTTTGTTCTCCTGACGAGTCGTTATAAACTGACAGTGCCCCGTTTTCTCATGTGCAATCTTTCCTTTGCAGACTTGTGCATGGGGCTCTATCTGCTGCTCATTGCCTCAGTTGACTCCCAAACCAAAGGCCAGTATCATAACCATGCCATAGATTGGCAGACAGGGAGTGGGTGTAGCGTGGCTGGCTTTTTCACTGTATTTGCAAGTGAACTTTCTGTCTACACCCTCACAGTCATCACACTAGAAAGATGGTACACCATCACCTATGCTATTCAGCTCCACCAAAAGCTGCGATTAAGACATGCCATTCCAATTATGCTTGGAGGATGGCTCTTTTCTACTCTAATTGCCATCTTGCCCCTTGTGGGTATCAGCAATTACATGAAGGTCAGCATTTGCCTCCCCATGGATGTGGAAACCACTCTCTCACAAGTGTACATATTAATGATCCTGATACTCAATGTAGTGGCCTTCATCATTATTTGTGCTTGCTACATTAAAATTTATTTTGCAGTTCAAAATCCAGAGCTGATGGCTACCAACAAAGATACAAAGATTGCTAAGAAAATGGCTGTCCTCATCTTCACCGATTTCACCTGCATGGCACCAATCTCTTTTTTTGCCATCTCAGCTGCCTTCAAAGTGCCCCTTATCACAGTAACCAACTCTAAAGTTTTACTGGTTCTTTTTTATCCTGTCAATTCTTGTGCCAATCCATTTCTGTATGCGTTTTTCACAAAGGCATTCCGAAGGGATTTCTTTCTGTTACTGAGCAAATTTGGTTGCTGTAAACATCGGGCTGAACTTTATAGAAGGAAGGATTTTTCAGCTTATACTTCCAACTGCAAAAATGGCTTCACTGGATCAAATAAGCCTTCTCAGTCCACCTTGAAAATGTCCCCATTGCACTGTCAATATACAGCTGTCCTAGATAAGACTAGCTGTAAATAGTGTTAACTGTTACATCAGTAACCACATTATTGTACTTAATTAGGTAAAAATAAAAAAACCTGTACCAATATTTTAACAAACAGTTCATTTTAGGAAGTTATTTATTCTTAGGTACATTGGGCAAACAGATACCTCTACCTAGCTCAAAGTGTGGTCCATGACCATTGCCACTCTAAAAACTATTTATCATTGGTACGTGATGACATAAAATAACAGAAGCTGTGAGTGTTTACAAACTTTTATAGCAATTTTGACAGTGATTTTATGTCTGTTGAGTCTAATATTTTTTAAAAGTTGGTATCTTGCACGTCTTTGATGTTTTCCTCATTTCATCTTTGTAATAATTTTTATCGCATTTTATCAAAATATTAATCCATAACAGATTTGAAATTTAAAATAGCTGGTTCTTTTCCTCAGATAGTTGAGAAACACTCTACAGATGCACAGTCCAATCACTGTCTTGCTCATTTTCATATCCTTTCATTCACTGACACCTACCAATTATTCCTTGAATTGTCTTTCACATGAGTTCTTTATTTTGCATCCCTACTGCCACACCCATATTTCAGGCCATTTCCCCTTCCCGCTAGAGGATTACCATATAGCTCTCTCATTTTTATTCATACCCAATCTTTTGCATGTACATATACTAATACCCACCACTGATTAATCTCCTAAAATCCTATCTCATACCTGCCAAGAAACTTGACCAGCTTGTCAGTAACTATAAATTTAAGTTTTAGCTCCTCATCTAACATTCAGAGTTCCAAAATTCATCCTCAAATCTGCTCACTTTATCTCCTGCTGTTATTCTACATGAAACAAATTGTTCCACTTTTCCCTACCCATGCACTATGCATCTCTATTCTGGTACCATGCCACTCTTATAATCTGGAACACCTTCTTTCTCTGTCCCCCTTCTGCACAGTAAGAAGGTTTATCTTCTTTATAGAGCTATCAATCCACTCCCTCCCTAGTCCACTTTAGTCCAGATATTACTTTGACCTGAAATGAAGTAGGGAGTAATAAATATGTAAACCACAGTGGTTCCTGTCTTTGGACTTCATTAGCACCTGACGTCTGTTATCATTCGTCTTTTATTCTACACTGCTGGGTATTATTATCTTTACATGTACATCTCTTATTTAACCTATGTTATACATTTCCTTAGTGATATACTCATCTTTACTTTGTGTTTCTCCCACTATATTTATCCTACAGTCTTACACGTGGGAGATGATTAATAATGTTTTAGCTGATAACTGAAATATAAAATAATCTTTAAGTATTTCCCCTTATGAGATGGTCTTATATGTGTTTTCTTAATATGTATAATCTTCACACACAAATCATAAAAACATCAAATAGGTGAAGGGGAAAAACAGAATGCTTGATATCTTGATCTATGTGATGGTTACAATAGTGTATACACATGTCAAAATTCATTAAGCTGTATGCTAAGATTTGTTCATTGTACTGTATGTATGCCCCCCAAAAAAAATTTAATGAAAAATGCCAAATACTCAAGAAATTGCTATTTCTATCTTGGTTTTTGTATTTTTGTTTTGTTTTGTTACCATTTTGATATTATCACTGGTAGGTTGCAAAATGCCCAAAAGGGTGAATCTATCTGGAATAACTCACCTAAATTTACAAAATATTTTTTTTGTCCTCCATTCATAACATTTGCCATAAAGGACCTGGTTTTAGTTTTCTCAAAACTTATTAAGTCCATGTATAAATTAGAAATCTTTATGTCACAAAGACACAAAGATTTCAATAAATGTGTCCATAATTGGAAATAATCTTTTCTTCAAAGTGTGCAATATTCTTCATTAGTATCAAGTTTCCTCCTAAAAGTTATTTTCATAAGCTTCCTACTTAATTTAGCTTTCTAGTAATAAATCACAAAGTTTTCTAGCTTAGAGTATATTTACACAAAAGATAGTATAATATTAACCTAATAATATGAGTCAAAAGAAAATCCCTAACTAAATTCCCCTGCTCACCGCCACAATTAACTATTGCTATTCATTCTTAAGTTATTCATTTTCCTACACAACTTAAATGACTGAAACTGACTGCCTCAACCAGAATTGGAATCTCATTGCCTTATGGAGTCTGAGTTGTACAGATAATTATTTACACATATAATAGCACACTGAATAAAATAGACAAGCAATGTATTCCAGACAAGGTCATTTCGTCAGTCCCTAAGAGATTAGTTGTGCAGACTCAGCAAGATCTTTTTCACCTATAGGGAGAGCTGGAAAGATATAAGAAAGCACTGAAGTATGAGAGCATGAGAAAAATTCTGAAGTAGGAATTAGGATACATGATACTTTCACAAATTGCATTTAACACAGCAAACTGTAACCTCTGTAATAGAGATACTTTCTTCATTAAAGGGTATAAGAAGACATTTGCCAAGGTATTGTGTTTATAAGAATTTAGAAACTACTTTATGTTATTTGTTATAATATGCAACAAGGAATGCTTAGCTTGGACATGATAAAGTTCCTGAAAGTGGAGTAATATATCAAAGCCAAGTCTTGGGTAAACTATCAACTTATAGGCCTTAAAGAATAATTTTCTCTTTTAATGTGGACTAGGATTTGTCTCTATGTTTACCACATGGGTGAAAAATATTTTTTTAACTATGAGTCATAACCCATCACTAGGTAGTGAAATCAGTTTAGTGGCTCAATAACATCGATTTTTTTTTAATGCGACAGAGCAGAACCAAATAAAAAAACATAGGAGGCTATCATGTGCTAAAGGCAAGCATGATGTTCTGAGACTTTGGTTTAATCTGTCTTTTGTGTGCCTACATACACACAAACATATACTGGTTATTAAAATCTATTTCTTAATGTGGAAGCTGTACAAAAGTTTTTGAAAACACTGGTTTAGAAAACTTCTTAAGAACTAGGACTTTTTTTCTAGTATTACTTGAGACTAATATAAGGGCACCAGGTCCAAAATAATTTGAGGCACCTCTTAAGTCTCTCATCATTAATTCTCTCATCATTATATTAGTAAGCAAGGATAATTATTATTGCTTTTATTTTTTGATAAGCCTACTTTTAAGTTGTTTTGGGTTTTTTTTTGCATTTTGAAAAGATTAGGGTCATGAAGGCACACAGAGACACAAATGGAACTACTGTGACTTTTTCCCCCAATGATAAAACGTACCACAGATATAAAAAGGACCAATATAACAGCAGCTTTTGTAATGTGCCACTTAAAAAAAAAATCACTAAAGCAAAGTAAGAGTCTAAAATTCACAGTGGAAAAGAGGAAAGGAATTTTTGAAACAACTATTATTGCCTCTGCCAAATACCTGAACCAACACATCAAACCCCAATTCCCAAGCACATGTGCTTTGTCAATAAACTCAGCCCTTGATTTGCAATAAGGTTTGCCTAGGGCAAATACAGAGTGACTGGGTGATCCAGGAGGAAGGAAGCAGCACAAAGACTAGAAAGTGTACTCATGAGCCTGGCAAGGGGGTACATTTTGGGGGCAGAAAGAATAAGTGCCCCCCCTTTTTGCCTTCCATGTAGAAAAGATGGACATTCATGGTAGGCAACATCCATGAAGAGAGCCCATAGCTCCTGAAGTTCTCAAGAGCCAGAGAAGGATCTGGAATAGCAGTGGTGGTAAGGAAAGACAGTTACTCTGAGGATGAAGAGACACAGATGGAAGAGTTTGGTTAGGGAACTAGCCTACTCACTAGTACTAACTGAATTCTCATGTAGCTGCCAACTAAGCTAATGACAGTATCCCACATACGTGGTCCAAGGCCCAAAAGGTTTTGAAAAGATCTACTAGTACCTAAATCCTTTGGAAGGCACAGGACAGGTATTGAAATAAATTAAACCTCCTAAGTGGGGTTGCCTCTGAAAAAGAATGGGGAATTTGCCCTGTGACCAGCCAGATCCAGGTATCCAATCCTTAGCGGGCTTCCACAGACCATAACCCACTCATCGCATCACTGCTTTTTGTGTGATGATTACTGTCCTGGGGAACACCATGCAAGCCAAAACTAGGGATCCTAGACATACAGACCATGTATAACCACCCATTAAGAATAGCAGAATGGTGGGAAAAATGTTCCTTTGAGGGATCTGATTCTTCTAATGAAGAGAGTATAATGGAATAGCTTATTGGGATATTAATTTGCTTTGCTTTTATTGCTACAGGAAAATGAAAGCTACACTTTATTTTCTCTCTCTGATTTTAAGACAGTCATCCAGGTCTTTTTGTCTTGTCAAATAAGATTTCCTAGTCATAGCAGAAGGTTCCTGAAGAGAACATATCTTCTTGACTGTTCTTTTAGAAAGCCTAAACTCAATGAGGGGATTCCTTGTTAGGAAAAAGGAAGAGATCCACTGAAAAAAAAAAAAAATTAGGGAGGGAAATTCCACCATGACTAAGAAGAAAATAGAAGTCTGAAGTTTCAAGAAGTGGACTAGGAACCTAACACAATCCCTTACAATCCCCCAAGAAGATAGTAGGACATAAAGAAGAATGGCCTGGCCACATGATAAGCCCAAAGAGGCTTATCCTTAGCCCCAAGGATCCTGGCTTCAGCAGATTTCCATGTTCAAGTATAGTATAGGCTCAACAGAGACATCTGCCTCCAACGGGCCACCTGGGCTCACACAATCAGCATACTGCTAGTGACAAATGCAGACTGAATACCCAGAGAAGCCTTCTTGAATATCCTGCTACTTACAAAAATCTCCAGGATCTTTTGTAACATGGTTTGGAGAAAAATGGGAGGAACAGTGGTCCCAACATGACACTGATTTTACTATGAAAGGGAATTTGGAGTCAGATTTATATTTTACCTCAAGATTAAAGAAATGTGACATTTCTTTATGCTCCATCATATCTGAGGCATCTATATTTTGTAATGATAGATGAGAGAGTTTTTTTGAAAAAAGAAACCCTGTTAAAACAGTAAATGAAAGAAATATAAAATTGTATATTTGTATCTGCATCTGAATTATAATTTTATTAAATTCCATAAACAGTAAACTAGGTCTTTTTGTCTTGTCAAATAAGATTTCCTAGTCATAGCAGAAGGTTCCTGAAGAGAACATATCTTCTTGACTGTTCTTTTAGAAAGCCTAAACTCAATGAGGGGATTCCTTGTTAGGAAAAAGGAAGAGATCCACTGAAAAAAAAAAAAAATTAGGGAGGGAAATTCCACCATGACTAAGAAGAAAATAGAAGTCTGAAGTTTCAAGAAGTGGACTAGGAACCTAACACAATCCCTTACAATCCCCCAAGAAGATAGTAGGACATAAAGAAGAATGGCCTGGCCACATGATAAGCCCAAAGAGGCTTATCCTTAGCCCCAAGGATCCTGGCTTCAGCAGATTTCCATGTTCAAGTATAGTATAGGCTCAACAGAGACATCTGCCTCCAACGGGCCACCTGGGCTCACACAATCAGCATACTGCTAGTGACAAATGCAGACTGAATACCCAGAGAAGCCTTCTTGAATATCCTGCTACTTACAAAAATCTCCAGGATCTTTTGTAACATGGTTTGGAGAAAAATGGGAGGAACAGTGGTCCCAACATGACACTGATTTTACTATGAAAGGGAATTTGGAGTCAGATTTATATTTTACCTCAAGATTAAAGAAATGTGACATTTCTTTATGCTCCATCATATCTGAGGCATCTATATTTTGTAATGATAGATGAGAGAGTTTTTTTGAAAAAAGAAACCCTGTTAAAACAGTAAATGAAAGAAATATAAAATTGTATATTTGTATCTGCATCTGAATTATAATTTTATTAAATTCCATAAACAGTAAACTGAAAATATGAGCAGTTCTGTACTGGACTATATTTAAAATAAAAATAAGTTTCACAATATGTGATTAGTCCCACTGATGTTTATGATACATGGATCTCATAAGTTTTACCACTCTGCATCACCAATGGCTTTTGCAAATACATAGTCTTTCCCTCCAAAACACATAATACCATCTTTCAAATAGAATTTCCATTTGTTCTTACTTCGATGAATCTGGAGGGAAAAAAATAGTCTAAATTAATTAATTTTACAAGTTAAAGGATCATTTACATTTCTTTGTATATACATGGGTTTATTCTGACCCTAAATGAGAGTTCTTTATTCATTCAAAACTCAAATATTTGAGTTCCTGTGTCTGATGTTGTTTTAGGCACTGGAGATATATCAGTCTTTTTAAACATTTTTTTAAAAACAGGAAAAAATTCCTATCTGAAGAGTTTGCATTTTATTAAGAATGGGGGAAACAGAAACCTAATGAAAACATAAAATTAGAAAGAATAGTAAAAGGTGATAAGTGCTATGAAAAACAGAACAGGACAAGACCACAAATACAGAGGAGGGATTATAATTTTAAATAGGACTGTCAGGGTGGACCTGATTGATGAGGTATCCTTTGAGCAAAGACTTGAAGAAGGTGAGGGATAAAGCCAGGAAGACATTGACTAGAAGAGCATTCTAGGCAAAGGGAGCAGAAGTTAAAGTCCTGAGGAAGGGCATGCCTGGATTGTTCAAAACTAGCAAAGAGTTCAGTATGTGGGCAAAGGAATAAAGAGAGAAGATATAATTATCATCATGAATGAAAAAAAGTAGTGCTTCATTTTTTTTAATTTTATCATTAATCTACAATTACATGAAGAACATTATGTTTACTAGGCTCCCCCATTCACCAAGTCTCCCCCACAAACCCCATTATAGTCACTGTCCATCAGCGTAGTAAGATGCTGTAGAATCACTACCTGTCTTCTCTGCGTTGCACAGCCCTCCTGACCCACCTCCCGACATTATACATGCTAAACGTAATGCCCCTTTTCTTTTTCCCAGCCCTTAGTGCTTCATTTTGAAAAAGAAAGTCAATAAAGCACCAAGCAAGGTCAGAAGACACAGTTTACAATCTATTAGATACTACTGGGCTATTCTTTGGATTCAATAAATAAGCCTACATACAGACAAAATAAAACTAGGAAATCCTACTACCTCAAAAAGTAAGAAATCATAAAATCATTATTAATTCTGGGTAAACCACAAGAGACAATTTAAACACCTTAGAAATCAAGAGTAAAAATTAAACCTATTTATTGATTGCAAATAATCAAATCAAGGAAAGAAGCATATGACTAGTATTCAGATGTATTTTGTGAAGCTCAAACTAGTATTCAAAAAATAAAATAGAGATACTATGCTACATACTTAGCAATCACTCACTGTACTAATATTTAAGGGACAAAGATGACTATAAGCAAAAGTTTGCTAAACTGTTAAATGAAGATGCAATACATTCAAATAGTTTTACATTCTACTATAAATAGTATTCTATGTATAGCACAGGACATTCCCATCTATAGAAAAATGTTTCACTTCACAATTAATCTTCCCTGTAATATCCATATTACACTTTTATATTAATCTTAGACATTCTCCAGGTCTCTGAAATGACATATCCACACCCTTTAACTAATTCTCACTCAGCATGTTGACCTTCATTTAATACTTTTTCATTGCACATCTTAATATTTTGAAAGTTTTTCCCCAATTGTTAACTTATAAATTTTAAAGGTAAATTCTATGTTAATCATAGCCAGATACTAACAGAAAAAAAAGGCACTTCTCAAAGTTTAAAGAGTATGCAAATGACCTGGGGGTCTTGTTAAAATGCACATTCTGATCCAGTACTCAGGAGCAAGACACAAAATTCTGAATTTGTAACACTCTCCTAGGGGAACTGATGCCACTAGCCCCCAAAGCACACTGAGTAGTAAAGCTCTTAAAAGACTGTTGAAAAGTCTTTTGACTTAATTGAGTTTATTTTCAATACTACTTGAAACAAGCCAACCAATGACCAGAAATTCACTATAACACTGGTCCACCCCCCAGCCCCACTTTGACCTTATAGATCATTATCTTATCTTCTGGCTTCATTACCCTCCCTTCAAAAACGTTTCAATGGTTCCCCAATGCCCTTATTGAGACTAAAATTTTTAGTTCTGTTCTTAAAATATTAATTAGAGAACACTCTCAGACAACCAGATTTGTTAACACTATACATCTAATATCACTCCTTTTATCTACCCCCCAAGATTATTATAAGAAGCAAAAGACAATGTGTGAGAAAATACCTTGAAAAATTCAAAGCACTATATGATTAATTATAAGCTATTTCCCACAATGCAGTACAACAAAGGATACTATATCTATAATAGTCTAGAAAATTCTTTGTGATTGTATGAATTGCATATATAATTTAGTGCCTTACAGTTATAGAAGGCAATACACTTTTTATGAGAAAATGAAATGTTTCAAACAGAACTGCCACGTGTCTATTACCTATTCCTTCTTATGCTTATGTTTACCATCATCTAAATTGCCATTTCTATCTATATAAAACGTTATAGGGCATAAAATCTTACTTTTAGAGAAAAGAAATTTTTTTAACAGCAATTCAAAACACCATCCTCTGCATATTTCCCTAGAGTACATTGAAATTGTTACTGAAAGAAGATCAAAGATATAAATATGCATTAGTCATCAGGGGAATGCAAATCAAAACTACAGTGAGATACCACTTCACACCCACTAAGATGGCTAGAATCAAAAAGTGTAAACAAGAATATGGAGCAATCTAAACCCTCATTCACTGCTGGTAAGAATGAAAAATGATACAGCCACTTTGAAAAACAGTCTGGTAGTTCCTTAAACTATTACCACATGACCCAGGAATTCCACTCCTAGGTATATACTAAGAGAAATGAAAATACACTATGTTCACAAAAAAATAAATTATATATGCATGCTTATATATAAATGCTTATTATAGCAGCATTTTTATAATAGGCAAAAGGTAGAAACAACCCAAATGTCCAACAATAGAGGAGTGAATAAGAAAAATGTGGTATATCCATTCAGTGGACTAGTATTCAACAATAAAAAGGAATAAAGAAATGTTACATGCCACAACATGGACAAATCTTGAAAGACTGTGTGAGGTAAAAGAAGCCAGTCACAAAAGACCACATACTATATGATTCCATTCATATTAAACTCCAGAATAGGGAAATCTAAAGAGATAGTAGAATAGTGATTCCTCAGGCCTAAGGGTAGGGAAGGGAGGAAATGAGAAGATAAGAGAGTGAGAAGAAATAAAGGGTATAGGGTTTCTTTTTGAGGTAATAAAAATGTTCTAAAATTGAATTGACTGTGTTAATGGTTCTACATATCCATGAATACACAAAACCACTGACTTATACACTTTAAATAAGTGAACTGTATAGTATATTAATTATATCTTTTTAAAAAGATGTAAATATGCATATTTGTAAAAATAAAAGATAAAAACTGACTATTTCTACTACATAATCACAGTCATAGTGTTTTTTAAAAGGCAGTTTTATATTTTAGTTGCTAAAGTTAAATTGCTACAAATATAATTTCTAGGCTTGAAACCTGAGAGGTGCCTTCAACTCTCTTGTATTGATCATTCTCTAATGTCCAACTAATCACCAAGTCCCAATAATTGATCCATCATAATCTCTGACTTTTTTATGTTCTACACTGCTATTCCTAGTCTGGGATCTGGTTATTTCATGTCTGCACCAGCCCTGTTGTTCTTACCATTGTCTCTTCTGAAACAGCAAACACTGCCCCTTTGCCAATTATAATTTTCTCAGTATCATCCTCAGAAATTGTCCACCTAATCAAGTTTGGACTTCTCCTACTAGGATTCTAGATTTTCCAATCAGTCCCAACTCTGTCCCTAACCCAGACTCACTTCCTAATACATCCAAAAGGAGAACATTCAAGGCTATTTCTTCACTATACCTTGTACATTCTACACACATTCATTTCTCTGCCTTTTAGCAGGCTGTTCTACTCTGAATGCCTACTCTATTCACTTATCTATATCTTACAAATCATTCAAGACCTATTTCAAGGCCCCATATCACCCATGAAGGATTTGTGGAGAACTCCAAGTACAAATGATTTCTTACATCTCCTAGCCACTTTTAGGACTTACTGTCTGTGCCAGATCTTAGCATTTGATTTACATGCCACTTATCTTAGCATTTCATTTATATGCCATGTATTTTACCATTTGACTTACCTGTCACATACCTTAGCTTTTGATTTACCTACCATCTTATTGTATGCTATTCTATTACTCCATACAGAAACATCTCAGTAATACCAAAAAAGTGATATTTTTTGGTATTACTGAGACCACACAGCACAGTGTTAGACCCAAAATACACCCATAAAACTTACCAATTAACTAGCTATTTCAAGATTAAATTAACTGTGAACTGTAACTCAGCATTATTTCCCATCATTTTATATACCTTTCTATTATAAATGTAATTAATCAACCCAAAGTCTAAAAGATGAATGCAGTACCTTGTCATACTGACAGACAATTACATTATCCGTGTCAAACAGGTCTGGCACATTCTGCTCACTAACATCATCTCCAGAATTTAAAGCCTCCTAAAAATGAAAGATGGTCATATTAAGGAACTTCATGGTGCTTTGATTTTTTAAAGATGGAGAGACATATAGAGATAAAGGAGATCAGAGAAAACAGAATAATTTTGTACTTAAAAGTTAAATAGCCTGGTTTTGAATCCCAGCCTGGCCACTGAATAACTACAAAACTAACCTTCAGCAAGTTATTAAAACTCCTCATGCCTCAAGTTTTCTCATCTTCAGAATGAGTATAATAATAAGACCCATAGGGCAATGGAAATGTTAAACAACATAAGGCACATAAAACTTAGCAAGGGATTTGGCACATACATAGAGCCACCATAACAATAGCTACTACTATTTACATGCTTCTTAATTACCACATTCCACAAAGATTTTGCATTTTACTGTACTTATTAGCATTAGAGCAGATAGTATATACTTCTACCCTGTCTTCTTTACTCTCACTCCCATCCTCTAAGCCTCTCACTATTCCTAGTTAAGATCACCAAATATAGTAACTGATTCCTAAATACATAATACTGGTTTAAATTACCAGTAAGTTTCTAATTAAATGTTTAAATAATAGTGTACAAATAAGCCTCACTTTAAGACTAAAGACAGAGTTAATCTCAATGTCCTCTTGGTTCCAAAGTATATTAAAGTACAGTTATACATTTAATTATTAAAGTTTCAGCTCAAAAGTGATCCTCACCTCTTCCACAATGTCTATGTGAGGGTCTACATTATCACTAGTGTTGGCAGTTAAATCTTCATTTGAAACACTATCAGCTTTTTCTTCAAGTACCTTCAGGTGTCTTGCATCAATAATTCCTAGAAATTCATTCTCATCTACATCTCTTGTACTTCCTATTCTGTCATTGGAAGATGTATCACCAGTTCCATCTACTTGAATTATTTCATCAGTATCATCATCAGTTGTCTGAATGCTTAAATCCATCTGCGTATTAGAATCCTAAAAAGAGAAAAAAAAAAGCAATAAAATTTTTCAAGTCAAATAAGGTGTATAAAACACTGAATCACACAAAATATAAAATTACTTAAAAATTTTACAATGGTCACTTAAAATATATATCTTTTTAAAAAGATGTAAATATGCATATTTGTAAAAATAAAAGATAAAAACTGACTATTTCTACTACATAATCACAGTCATAGTGTTTTTTAAAAGGCAGTTTTATGTTTTAGTTGCTAAAGTTAAATTGCTACAAATGTAATTTCTAGGCTTGAAACCTGAGAGGTGCCTTCAACTCTCTTGTATTGATCATTCTCTAATGTCCAACTAATCACCAAGTCCCAATAATTGATCCATCATAATCTCTGACTTTTCTATGTTCTACACTGCTATTCCTAGTCTGGGATCTGGTTATTTCATGTCTGCACCAGCCCTGTTGTTCTTACCATTTGTCTCTTCTGAAACAGCAAACACTGCCCCTTTGCCAATTATAATTTTCTCAGTATCATCCTCAGAAATTGTCCACCTAATCAAGTTTGGACTTCTCCTACTAGGATTCTAGATTTTCCAATCAGTCCCAACTCTGTCCCTAACCCAGACTCACTTCCTAATACATCCAAAAGGAGAACATTCAAGGCTATTTCTTCACTATACCTTGTACATTCTACACACATTCATTTCTCTGCCTTTTAGCAGGCTGTTCTACTCTGAATGCCTACTCTATTCACTTATCTATATCTTACAAATCATTCAAGACCTATTTCAAGGCCCCATATCACCCATGAAGGATTTGTGGAGAACTCCAAGTACAAATGATTTCTTACATCTCCTAGCCACTTTTAGGACTTACTGTCTGTGCCAGATCTTAGCATTTGATTTACATGCCACTTATCTTAGCATTTCATTTATATGCCATGTATTTTACCATTTGACTTACCTGTCACATACCTTAGCTTTTGATTTACCTACCATCTTATTGTATGCTATTCTATTATTCCATACAGAAACACCTCAGTAATACCAAAAAAGTGATATTTTTTGGTATTACTGAGACCACACAGCACAGTGTTAGACCCAAAATACACCCATAAAACTTACCAATTAACTAGCTATTTCAAGATTAAATTAACTGTGAACTGTAACTCAGCATTATTTCCCATCATTTTATATACCTTTCTATTATAAATGTAATTAATCAACCCAAAGTCTAAAAGATGAATGCAGTACCTTGTCATACTGACAGACAATTACATTATCCGTGTCAAACAGGTCTGGCACATCCTGCTCACTAACATCATCTCCAGAATTTAAAGCCTCCTAAAAATGAAAGATGGTCATATTAAGGAACTTCATGGTGCTTTGATTTTTTAAAGATGGAGAGACATATAGAGATAAAGGAGATCAGAGAAAACAGAATAATTTTGTACTTAAAAGTTAAATAGCCTGGTTTTGAATCCCAGCCTGGCCACTGAATAACTACAAAACTAACCTTCAGCAAGTTATTAAAACTCCTCATGCCTCAAGTTTTCTCATCTTCAGAATGAGTATAATAATAAGACCCATAGGGCAATGGAAATGTTAAACAACATAAGGCACATAAAACTTAGCAAGGGATTTGGCACATACATAGAGCCACCATAACAATAGCTACTACTATTTACATGCTTCTTAATTACCACATTCCACAAAGATTTTGCATTTTACTGTACTTATTAGCATTAGAGCAGATAGTATATACTTCTACCCTGTCTTCTTTACTCTCACTCCCATCCTCTAAGCCTCTCACTATTCCTAGTTAAGATCACCAAATATAGTAACTGATTCCTAAATACATAATACTGGTTTAAATTACCAGTAAGTTTCTAATTAAATGTTTAAATAATAGTGTACAAATAAGCCTCACTTTAAGACTAAAGACAGAGTTAATCTCAATGTCCTCTTGGTTCCAAAGTATATTAAAGTACAGTTATACATTTAATTTTTAAAGTTTCAGCTCAAAAGTGATCCTCACCTCTTCCACAATGTCTATGTGAGGGTCTTCATTATCACTAGTGTTGGCAGTTGAATCTTCATTTGACACACTATCAGCTTTTTCTTCAAGTACCTTCAGGTGTCTTGCATCAATAATTCCTAGAAATTCATTCTCATCTACATCTCTTGTACTTCCTATTCTGTCATTGGAAGATGTATCACCAGTTCCATCTACTTGAATTATTTCATCAGTATCATCATCAGTTGTCTGAATGCTTAAATCCATCTGCGTATTAGAATCCTAAAAAGAGAAAAAAAAAAGCAATAAAATTTTTCAAGTCAAATAAGGTGTATAAAACACTGAATCACACAAAATATAAAATTACTTAAAAATTTTACAATGGTCACTTAAAATATATTTCTTTCCTAATTTTGAATTTTAGAACACCACTAGCAATTTTATGTAATATGGAAACAATTCTTAAATTATAAGTAAACTTACACTTACAGTCATCTATAGACAGTAAATGAGCTTACTAGTTTCAGATAATACATATAAGTTTTTCTATAACACCACCTTAAATTTATATAATATAGTACCTACTAAATTTAACTATTTCATTTATTATACTCTCCAATCTAAAGACTTGGATTGTCAGGATGGATTAAAAAACAGGATCTGACTATATGCTATAGATCTAAGGACACACATAGGTTGAAAGTAAAAGATGGAAAAAGAAACTCCATGCAAATAATAATCAAAAGAGTTGAGACAGCTATGCTACTATCATACAAAATAAATTTTAAGTCAGACATTATTACTAGAAAAAAAATTATATAATGAAAATCAATTCAGCAAGATTTAACAATTTAAAGCACATATGCACAAAACATCAGAGCTCCTAAATATATGTAACATCGACAGATTTGAAGGGAGAAATAGGTCTACAAATGAAGCTTAAAATATGAATAAAGTTGTTCTTTATAGTGTTATTTTTAGTACTATTTATGATAGCACCCAAACCCATAAAATACTTAGATAAAAATCTAGCAGAAGATGTGCATTATGTGTGTTAAGAACTACAAAACATTAATGAGAAAAGCCAAAGACCTAAATAAATAGAAAATGTATCATACCCATGAATTGGAAGACTCATTATTGTGAAGACATCAATTCTCCCCTTTCTGATCAATAGATCCAGCAAAACACAAATCAGAGTTCCAGCTGGTCTTTTTTGTAAAAATTGGCAAGCTCATTCTTTTATGTGAAAAAGCAAAGGAAGTAGAACAACCAAAATAATTTTGAAAAAGAACAAAATTGAGACGACAACTCTCTGACGTCCACACTAACTATAAAGTTACCCTAATCAAGATAGTGTAGTACTAGTGAAAAGACAGACACATAGAGTAATGAAACAGTGACAGTTGAGAAGTAAACCAACACACGCATGGTAACTGATTTTCATTAAAGGTAAAGTGCGTTAGATACTGGATGCACTTTAGACAACTCAATGGAGATAGGATAGTCTTTTCCAAGTGATAAAACAACTGAACATCCATATGCAAAAAAAGAGTACCTAAATCCTAACCTTGCACTATATACAAAAATTAATGGATCACAGTCCTAAATGTAAAATCTATAAAATTTTTAGAAGCATGAGATCTTTGCAACCCTTGGTTGGCTAAGACACACAGCAGAAATCAAAAGGAAAAAATAGTGAATTATGACTTATCGAAATCACAAGCTTCTCCTTCTCCAAAATGCAGTATTAAATAGCAAGGAAGTGAAATAACTATAAATCTTACACATTGCTAGCAGAAATGCAAAATCCCACCATACATTGCTGGTGGAAATACAGCCATTCTGGAAGTGAGTTTGGCAGTTTCTTACAAGCATACATGTATCATATGACCTAGAAATCCTACTCCTAGGTATTTATTCAAAAGAAAAGAAAATCTAAGTCCACACCAAAACAAGCAAAAACCCTGCACATGAATGTTTTTAGGGGCTTTATTTACAAATTCTAAAAACTGAAAACAACCCAAATATCCAAATGGTGAATGGATAAACAAACTGTGGAACAGAATATACTCATATATGCAACATGAATGAATTAAATGTACTATGCTGAAGTTACATATTGCACGATTCTACTGTTCAATATTCTGGAAAAGGCAAGCTTACACCAAAAGAAAACAGATCAGTGGGTGACACCAGGGACCAGAGGTAATAGGAGGTTATAGATTACAAAAACATATCGTAAATGTTATCTCAGTTTAATAGTGATTATAGAACTGCAAGCATATGTCAAAATTCATACTGTATACTTAAAATCTGTACACCTAAAAAAGGTAAATTTTAATTTTTGTAAATTATAGTTCAATAAGTTAGATTTCTTAAAAAGTAAATTATGGTAAGTTTAGTCCTAGACCTAAATTACATGTTGGAATTGGCTTTTCATTTTAGTATCAACAAGTAGCAAAAATCTTAACCACAGATCAGCAAAATGAATCAGAGCTCCCATGGTACTTTAGCAGATTAAGTATCAGTTTATTAAGGAATATTAAGTATTCTAGTACTCTTCTAATTGAATTCATATAGCATCATCTTTATTTTACTTAAACTGATAAGGTCCTCTTTACTCTGGGAGAGGAATAAGATTACAAATACAAATTTAATATCAATAAACTGTAAAAGTTTTGTCATTCTCAACTTCTTTCTTCAGAAGCACTTCCATCAAGCATTGGAAAGTTCATATGATTTTCTGACTCCCATCTCTTTTTCCAAGGTGGTAATTTGACCAAAACAGCCAGTAGTTTTGCAGCAACATCCCTAATAGGTACTGCAGGACATCCCTAATAGAAAGACCTAAGTCTGTCATATGGCCAAATATCTACTACATAGATCATCAATGAATTCCAAGTCAAATTGTTATAAGGAGGCTTTCATTCTCTCTCAAATAGTAAAAATCTCTCCAATGATCAAAGACTTCAAACATTGTCTCTTTAAAAGCCAGAAAAATTCTGCATGAAGAACTTAACACTTTGCCCACATTTTCTAACAAATGTCTTGGAGAAGACAATTACTCAATACCTTCACTCTAATGTATCTGAGTTTCACACCAGCCAATGAGAATTCTTTTAAAATTATTGGCTGTGTTTTACCATTAATGCATGCCAAGTGCTAAAAGAGAGAGCAAAGCTTTCTTTACTGAAGCAGTAAACCATGTGTTGCCAAGAGCTCCATCAGTGTAGAGAATACCACATTTTGCTAAGGAAAAAAATTTTTGTGACAAAGAGGTCAGTTTCCAGCTTCCAAAAAAGGTCTCACAACATAGGAATTTTTGATGGTACCAATGTGCAAATAAAAATCAGTTGCTATCTTACTATGCTGATGGACAGTGACTGTAATGGGGTATGTGGTAGGGACTTGATAATGGGGGGAGTCTAGTAACCATAATGTTGCTCAGGTAATTGTACATTAATGGTACCAAAAAAAAAAAAATCAGATGCTAGCTATCCCAAGATGCACTAGTATTTTTATCCTGTGGAATGTTAAAGCAAAGTCACTGTTGATTCTTCCATGAATTCTAGCTGAATATGAAAAAAATGTCAACTGTTCTAGTGCAATGATGTCATTTATCAGAGGCACTGCTTCCATTTTCTCTCTAAAACGAACCAGCTCAATGATTTCCAAGAGTCTCAGCTTCACTAAAGTCTCTTCAATTGTATAGATCCTCTGTGCCTGTGTAGTATAATAAGCAAATGCATAGGATGCTTCAAGATAAAACTTTGTTTGTCAAATCCAGCTTCCAATCTTTTCAATTTAAGCTTTCCTCTAATGAAAGAACCATATTTTTCAATGGCTGGTAAGAATTGACAGAACTTCATACCCAGATGTGGGGATAAATTTTAAAAAAAAAAGAGAGAGAGAAACTAAGCTATAACATACCTTCTTTTCACATTTTCAAAATAAACTATGTGAAATCCAGTTGCCTCTAATGATAATGGCAGGGCACATCTTCTTTAATTCTTAACAGAAATGTAATCCAGATATGTATCATAACATAGTGACAATAATGATTATGTATTACCTGGCCATGTACAGTAGAATCCCATGTCACTCTACTCTTATTTAGCATGAAATATACCTTCACATATTTGGGAAAATACAATATTTTCTTAAATCATCTTTTTTCCTATAAAGTGTCTAATTAAGAAATAAAATTCTTACACTGAGGAATAACTTAACATAGTAATACACACTTTAAAATAGAAACACAACAAATATTGTCAGGAATTTATTTTATGAAACAATAAGAATGTTAAACCTACATAGAAACTTTAGATCTCTGATAGCCTACACAAGGAAAGTAAACAAGTTTAGTAAGTTGTAACTTGTTTAAGCAATAAGAATTTCTGAACAGCTACTGATAAAAAAGAAATGCTATTTATAATTTTTTTGAAAATTGTATCAGCACAAAATTTACCAAGATACTACTTTAAAGGTATCCTATAGTAAATTATTTTTTAATTAATAAATACTTTTAAATGTTTGGATTTTTGTTTTAAATACAGATTTTAAAACTGACAAGTTAAATGAAAAGTTACCCAATATATCACATGCTCATAAAGCAGAAGAGCATTAATCTGAAGTTATTATGGTGCCAGAAGCTATTTAAAACTCTTTATAAAGCATCACTGATAATTCTAAAAATTATGAGGTTGGTTTAATACCCAGTTTATGGACTATATCTGAATTTCAGAGACTAACATTACATAGGTTGCTTATAAATGGTGAATCTGGAATGTGAACCTATTGTGGCTTCAAAGCTTAAGCTCTCAACCTCTGTCCGCTAAACAATCCTTGACTAATTAATTAATCTATTTCCCCATATCAGAACAAAGTACATGATGACATCTAATAAGCAGAGTTAAGTCCTTGAATCGTTACACCAAATATCTGCAAAGTGCATTCAGATCCAGGAGAAAAATGCCTCCAAAAGTGATAAAGTGAACACTTACTTTTAATTTACAGTTATTTTTACTTCAAAACCAAATGTTTCATAATTGTGAGTTTAAATATCATTTCTTAAATTTTATGTTATATGGAAAATATAATGAAAAAATACTCAAATATATTTTAATCTTAACACTTATACCAAAACAAAACTAAAAACAAAATGCCTAGAAGATTTTCAACAGACCTTATCAAACATCTAAAACATTCTAGAGGAGGTCAAATAGTTTCTGATGATCATTTTTGTTGTTGCTCATTATCTTTCACTGTACCCTATATTTTTCCCCTTACCTATGAAAATGTTAAGGTGGCACTTAACTATTCATTGCTGCAGATTTATATAGTTCTAGAGAACCACTAAACCATTAGCTAGAGACACAAACTTATTTGTTATATGTTACTAAATTGTATAAATGGAATTGACATTTTACATTTGTAAAAAGAACACAAAAGTTTTTTTAATTTTACCATCCAAAATTCTCCATCAATCTTTCTGCTTTCACTATAAATCCTTGAAAATATGTAATTTAAATCAATTTTCAATTGATTTAAATGTTACATTTGGTCTGGAAGTAAAAATAACTGTAAATTTAAATTTGGAAAGACTAGAAGGTTTTTTTTCAGTAGTTTGAATTCTAAAAGAAATTAACTAGTATTTTATGTAGCAAGCAGGGAGAAACAAAGTATTTATTAGCAAGATAATTCCTCAAGAGAGAAAACTTTCATATGAGAGTTCAGGAAAATTAGGTAGAACGAGAAAAAAAATATTTTGGATCTCTTTTGTACATGAAGTGTGATGATGAACTACCCCAAATTATTCATTTAATTACTAGGAGAGATTTTCAGATCTTTTAAATTTTATTGCAGAAAATAACAATGGATTACTTTAAACAAAAGCATTTTCTTTAAAGAAATATCTTAATTCATTAATTGAAATTAAAAGTTCAGAAATGCTGAGCATACTTTAAGAACTGATAGTTACGATAAAAACAACAAACAATCTTCTAAAGGAAAAAACAAAACACACATATTTTTGAGTAACGTTACAGCTTAAAAAAACTCAGGATGTCTAATCACTAGCCACTCTTTGTTCCCTAATACCACTAAGCTGAACAGAGAACTACCTTCTCCAAGACAGGTAGGCTCCTGGGCTCCTCTTTATTTCTTGGCTGCTTTTCAGAATCGCATTCCAACATTCTGTTTTTAAGAACGTGAAGCTGAATATCAGACATGTGCTGGAGCCAAGTCCTCTGAGGACCTGTGGAGAGGGGCCCACCATGCAGATTTTGGGTCATGCTAGCTGAAACACTGAGCACTGGCTCCATGTTAGAATTGGTTGGAGACACTGGTGGAGGAAATACAACACTTGAAAGAGTGATAAACTGTGAGTTTTCTGGCTGACTCAACAAAGCTTCAGACATGATTTTATGCTCATTTTGAGAAGGGAGATGTATAACACTGGTGGTACTGTCTAAATATTTCATAGCCAGTGTCCCAGAATGAAGAATTGTGGGTTGCTGGAGCATGGTTTCCATTTTCTGTGATTTTTCAGTAGTTGCTTGAAGAGAATATGGGCTCAGTCGTGGAACACAGGCCTCTAGTACTGAAGGCTGCCCAAGCTGCTGAAATACTTGCTGAATTGGATGCTGAAGAATACCTGCTCTTCCAGAAGTCTGTGTCACCATAAGTGGTACATTGACTTTATAAAATTGACCTTAAAAAGGAGAAAATAAAACTATAAGTATAATAGAACCCTAATTTAAGAAAAAATCTCATGCATGACAGGCTTGGAGGAAATATATCAGTATGCTAATAGTGGTTAGTTCTAGGAGTTCTTTTATTTTTCAGATTTTTTGTATTTTCTACAATAAATATGTGTTACTCTTACTTTTAAAAATTAAATATATCTTGCTTTATGTATCTTAATATATCTAGTCTTTTCCTACTGTTGCTCATACATTATGCACATTTTGAGATACATATAGGTCATCAATATTTACTCTATGAACCTCTCCCATTGTTTGATAAATTACAGTGTTACCAACCCAAAGCAGGATTTTAACAAACATAATCATGAAGAATGTACTTTATATATTTAAGATTTTATATTTTATCACATAAAAACTTTAAGACAAGGCTAGTCCAGAAAGAGTTTAATAATTTCAAAAGTTATCAAAGTTTTCCCCCTTCTTTTCCTTTAAACAATGCTTAAAAGAAGAAAGAAATTTATTTGTTGAGCATTGAGTTAGATGCTTTGCTTAAACTTCACAACAATCCAAAGAGTCAAGAAACAGTACTCTGAAAAGCAGAAGTTGGTTAATCTCCAATTAATGCTTATATAAGTATATGTAGTATGATCCTTTTGGAGAGCAATTTTCAGTATTTCAATTTTTCAAATTGAAAACATGCATGATATGTCCTCTATGATACCATGCAATCTGCAGTAAGAAAGGAGGCAAAGTTAATCTTTTCTTGAGTAGACGAGCTAGGACAAAGGTATGTTATTTTGTATTCATCAAAATTTAGATTACTGATTGAATTAGAGAAAACATTTAAAGCATCTTATACAATGTTGGGAAAGATAATTGATAATGAAATATAGGACATAAGTAGTACAGTGTCTTTTTGGAAGACTATCTGGATAGCAATAATATTCACCATTTATTATCACTGTTAAAATAAGTTTTATTGAAAGTTCCTATAACCTCTGGCACACAGTTTATTTAAAAATCATGAAAATTAACATACAGAAGTCAGTACCAATGCTACAAACAAAATATTTTTGGACTATACTCTTACCAGATGCAGTCTGTAGTGTCACACCTGCTGGTACATGAATAGCATAACCAGGAAAAGTAAAGTTTACACTGAAGGTTGAAGTACCCTATATATGAGACATTTATGTTAGAAAGTTAGAAAAGGGTTTTACTTGTATTTTTTCTCCTTGATCTCACAAAGGGTAAAAAAATGTGACCTAGGACAACAGAACAATAGTTTTACAACACTTAACATTAGGCCTGAGTTCTTTGAATAAAACAGCCTTTTAATATTTGATTTAGATCATCTCATTAAAGATAAAAGGAATTGTGCTTTATGACTATTAGCAATGAAGCCAGTAAGTCTCACTTAGTGAACGGTATGAACAATGACTACAAAACTTGCCTATTATGTGGCTTTACCTAGGCCACTGATCCTCAAGATGCTAAATAAAAGAACTACAACTGTTTATAGGAATCCTCTAGTCTATAAGTTGATCAGTGATATTTTAAAGTAGATAATATGACAGTGTATAACTTTCTCTAGAATAATTAAACCTTAGGGTTTTGAAATTCTTTAAATACTAAGTCAAGACAAAGGGACTTTTTGCCTATCAGACATATAAAAATTAAAAGATTGATTAGTAACACTGACTATTGGTAAAGATGTGATAAAAATCAGTTCTATCAGACCATTGCTTGTATGAGTATACATGGTACAATCCTTTTGGAGGGCAATTTTACAATGTATACCAAAATTGAAAACATGTATGATCTCTGACCCAGAAATTCTACTTTTAGGAATTTATCCTGATTATCTAATTATCACACAAATATACAAAGGTATATCTACAAGTATAATCAATGGAATGCTATATTAGAAAAAAAATGGAAATAATTTAAATGCCCATCAACAAAAGATTGGTTAATTAAACTGTGGCACATCCACTAAGGCTAATCAATATTTAACTAGCATGGAAAAGGATTCATCCATATTAGTAAGCTAAAAAAATTACAGAAGCAGTACAGAAAATAATCCTACTGTTAACCTGAAAATTAATATAACTTTCATGAAAGAAGGCTAGATGGATACAGATCAAACAGAACAGTTATCTTGAGCATATAACATTGCAGGGCTCTTTCATTTTTTACTTTATAAATTTACTAGTTCTTACTTTTTAGATGTATATTATTCCTTTAATCAGGAAAAAAGATAGTTCCAAGAATTTTAAAAATAGAGATTTCTTCATCTGTCTCCTATCAAAAGCAACACCATTCGTCCAAAAATCCAGGTGAGGGTGTGTCTTTTGTTTGTTTTTAATGAAGAAATGGAAATAAATGACCCACTGAACCTTTTACCTAGAAAGGTAGCTCATGGGCTAAAAGGAAATTATTTTAACTTACTAAGGAAACAATTAGTGAATTATACACTATCAATATCATGGAAGAATAGTAAAAGAGAGAAAGTGCTATTCTTCCCCACCTGAAAACTACCTGATTTTCTTGTAAGTTTTAATTTTATTTTCTGCCCCCAAATCCTAAAGTGGTGGGGGGCAGAGGTTCGGTGGAATCTATACTCTAATTTCTACTACACAAAGGTAAAAAATGACAAAAATATTCCACTTAAATAAAATAAACACTGTGGTGTGGTTCAACTCTGGGGAGAAAAAAAATCAGAAAAAACACCATATCAAAATTACCTACTTAGGATTCACCAAGTATATAGAAAACTACCTGATTTTCTTGTAAGTTTTAATTTTATTTTCTGCCCCCAAATCCTAAAGTGGTGGGGGGCAGAGGTTCGGTGGAATCTATACTCTAATTTCTACTACACAAAGGTAAAAAAATGACAAAAATATTCCACTTAAATAAAATAAACACTGTGGTGTGGTTCAACTCTGGGGAGAAAAAAAATCAGAAAAAACACCATATCAAAATTACCTACTTAGGATTCACCAAGTATATGACATGTACAGTGCCTTAAAACTCCATACAATGTAACTCCAGCAATGTCCTAACTTCACAGGTACAGTCTTGGCAGATGCTAACAACTGCTCTAGAAGATAGGGCAACTTGGTAACAAAATGTCAATTCTGGAACATCTGAGTTTTTGTAACATCTATATCATGGAAGCTACTTCTGTCTTGCCATCCCTCAGTACATCTTTTACCATTCAATGGAGGGTTATGAATTGTATCTATGCCCAGCCTTCTGCCACCATTCACTAAAGGAGGAGCATATCTTTTACAATGTATCTTAAATAAGCTACATACCAGTTCTGCTGTGGTTCTACCAGCAGGAATTACAAACGATGCTGCACAAAAAACAAAATAAACATGAGACATTCATTAGAATTTAACAATTTAGTAAAATTGCTAAGTATAACTTATTTTCAAAAAATGTTTTCCATCACTAACATGTTCAAGCATGGTGCATTCTAACCTTTCTGATTCCAAGTACGGTGAAAGAATTATATTTTTTTCCAACAACTTTAGACAAAGACTTTACAACTCACCTATTTTAAGTAGAAAAAGAAAATATCTCATTATTCTCAAGTATACTGTATATAAAGATCCATAACAAAACATCTAGGTTGTATTTACTTAGTAAGTCAATGTAGCACTAAATCTCCATTACAACTTTTCATAAGGGAGAAAAAGTAATAATTGTTGAAGTGGCATATTTCCAAGAGACTATACTATTAAGCAAAAATATGTAACCCAATATAAACATTCTAAATTTTATAGGTTCAAAGACATTTTAATTCATTCATTCATTTCATGAAATGTTATTTACAGTACTTTGGCCAAGTAAGCAAGCATAACTACATAGTTTTAGGAATACTTAATAAGAACATGTCTCCTGAAGTGTTTGCATGAAACAGGTATGACTGCTAAGAAAAATACAACTGAAGAAAGTCTTAGGAGAATACCAACTTAACCTGCATTAAAGCTGCAATCTCACATATCTTTCCTTTCTTACCTACCAATCTGCTATACTATCCCTTCATTTATAATACATCAAAAGGGTGACCAAGTGGTTGTAAATGTATTCATTTAAAAAAATAAGACTAAAGAACAAATAGTACCTCCAGTAGCATTTTAGTTGATTAATGTAATGTTAAACTTTACATCAAGGTTCAATTTACCTAGCTGACCATGACTGTTAGAGTATCAATTTTGCTTTTTCTTTTATACAAACAAGAACTTTTTAACACGTTTATGCAGCATCTAAGTATTAAATGTAATGTTTATTACAGCCTTTTTCTCACATATTGCACTAAGGAAAATTGCCCCCAAAATCTGTTTCTGACACTAGAATGGCTCCATCAGATATAACAGCTCAGAAGAGCAAATATTTTTTAAACTATTCCTTCCACATTAAGACAATAGAAGTAAGCCTACAGAGATTGATGGTTAATGAAGCACAAAATTATTTTTATCCTCTGTTCATCTATGACTTTGCTTATTAACAGACATTCTTTTAGAAAGGCTAAATTAGAAAGAATTAGAGTGGCATGAACACAATGGTATTAGTCTTAATTATCTATAGTGAGCAAAGCTTAAGCTGGTACAGCTTAAGCCATAGCCTGAGAGGAAACAAAAATCTGAGGCAATTAAATGAATTTGAGGAAAAACAGCAACAACCATCCTCTTTTAAGTACCCTGCAATAAATCCTAAAGGATACTTCTCTATACTTAAATAAATCAAACAGAGCTATAAGAGTTTTAAGAGTTTCTTTATAGCCATCAGAATAAAAGAATGGAACTAACAGCTTTATAGTGAAGTTTCATGCAGCTCCTACTTAATCTTGATACTAAATTCACAAGTTATATGCACCATTTATACAAGCTCACAAATTACATATACCATTATATGTGCCTGAAACACACTTTTTAAAATATTGACGTTAGCTTCAATAACCATTTAAGTTTTAACCGAATATGCATTTTTACCTAAACTAAATCTGTCAGAACTTTGGTCTTGATGAATATTTTCTAGAAATATTAAATTTCATACACAATGGGCTTTAGAATATAGGAAGAATCCAACCCCAGAATTGTAATTTAACAAATTTTGTAAAAAAGATAATATTGCATAATAATATCCACAAGTGTTATTTTTCCCTATACACCAGAAAGCCTTTGATACATAAGGCAGTTAATAATTCCACAATTCGTGGTCCTGCTTTGAACCATTCCAAATCTTAGTATCCACATCCCATAATTCAAGAGGTGCAAGACTGGCCAGTCTCTTCTTTGTGACTACTCTTTAGCACATGGATGTCTCCCGATCATCTGAACTTAATATTCTAACTCAAATCACCTCAAGAACCAAGAGCACTGCTGAAATTTTTACCAGACCTAAATTCAAGACCAATTGGACATACAGTTTGTACCTGAAGTTAGGAATTTTAAAGCACAGAGACAAAAGCTACCCCAAACCTCTCAATGTTCCTATTCTTCCCTTTCTCCCACAATGACTGATGGCTTTACAAAGAAAGATCATGTGGCAAGACCAAGCAGCAGAAGCTGATTTGAATTGCTCTAGAAATAAGTCAACCATATACATATCCCAGGTTGCCCAGGACAGTCCTAGTTTACATCTGTTATTGTGAGGTTATTATTAATAGAATGCCATTTCTCTCTCAAAAGTAAATTGCAGGGCAAAGACCCAGAATAGCCAATATAATATTCAAGGAGAAAAAAGTCTGGAGAAGTGACACTATCTGACTTCAAGACTTACTATAAAGCTGCAGTAATCAAGACAGTGTGGTATTGGCAAAATAATAAAGATCAATGAAGCAGAATAGAGAGCCCAATAATAGACCCACATAAATACAATCAACTGGTCTTTAACAAAGGATCAAAGGCAACACAATGGAGCAAAGACAGTCTATTCAACAAATGGTGCTGGAACAACAGGATATTCAATGCAAAAAAAAATCAATGTAGACACAGACCTTACATCCTTCTCAAAAGTTAACTCAAAATGAGTTCTGTAAAATGCATAAATTAGATGTAAAATGCAAACCTATAAAGTTCCTAGGAGACAACATAGGAGAAAATCTAGATGACCTTGATGACTTTTCAGCACAATCCATGAAAGAAATAGTTGTACTTTATTAAAGTTAAAAGCTGTTTTGCAAAGAACAATGTCAGGAGAAAAAGAAGACAAGCCACAGGCCAGGAGAAAATATTTGCAAAAGACATCTGATAAGGAACTGTTATCCAAAATATGCAAAGAATCCTTGAAATTTAACAATACAACCAGATTTAAAAAATAGGTGAAAGACCTTAACAGACACTTCAGCAAAGAAGATAAAGTAAACATATTGAAAAGATGTTCCACGTCATTGTTTGGCAATAAAACTCAAGTTTTCAGGCAAAAAATAGAAATGTGGAAGCTTTATATACACTACAGTGAGCTTGATAGCTTTCCAATACTTAAATATGTCTCTGATGAAATGTGTGGTAATAGTAATGAATATGATTTTTTAAATCCTGTATAATGAACAATATGTCAACTACGTAACTCAGTGAACCAGTATTTTCCAAAGAAATCAACATATGTTACAGAATTACACATGGGTTCGAGTCATTCAAATTGCAAGACACACCAGTGAACTTAAACATTACAAAAAGCCCAACTAACAGGGTTTCTAATTCTATCCTGCAGCTAACCTCTCTGAGAAACTACTTGTACAGTTTTAGTATAGTATAAAATATCTGAAAATGCTATTAAAATACTTTTCCAATTATATATATCTGTAGGAGGCTAGATTTTCTTCACATAGTTTAGCCAAAACCACAAAACAGACTGAATTTAGAAAAAGATGAGAATCCAGCGGTTTGTCTTAAGCCAAACATTATCAAGATTTGCAGAAAAGCCACTCATCTTGCTAAATATTTTTTGTTCTGTAAAATAGTTACTTTTAACCAATATATTATGTTAACAATCAATTTTTTAAGTTAATAAACCAAAATTTTAAAAACTTTCTCAGCTCTAATTTCTAATATGGTAAATAGATACTAATAACCCATATAAAAGAAAGGTCTTTAAGGTCCTCAGTTTTTAAGAGAGTAAAGTGACCCTGAGACCAAAAAGAAGTTGAAAGCTGAAGATACAGGAAATTATTAATCAAAAGAAAATATGATAGAGCAAACAAGTGTTAAAGGTGGAACAGACGAAGGCAAATGACTTACTCCATTGTAGATTAATTTGAACTCCAAGAAATTAAAAGGTTGCAGAAATAAGTTTATTTTAATCAGGCTTTAAGCACATACAATGAAAATATATAATTATTAAGTACTTCAATTTTATAAAGCTATTTACTTTAAGAATCTTATTGTAGGGTATCTAGAAATTAACAGGGATGGAAACAAGGCCTCTAAAGCATTTTTAAAGGATATATATACTTCCTCTTAAGCAATTTCATTATAGATGATGTAGAAAAGAATAAAGAGAAAAACTGTCTTTTTTAAATGTAATTATTTCTATTACTCTAGCTTCTAAGAGTAAAAATAAGAATAAAGTAGAATGAAAGCCAGCTAGATACATTAGTTGCAAGACTATTTTGTGATTGAAATCACTGGTAATATTACCATCTTGTGACAAAATCAAGTATTGCAATTTTGAATAATAAAGAATCTGAGAAGATTTAAATGTTTTCAATAAAAGACATGTAAGTATTTTCCTCCTCTACCCTTGCCACCCTCCAAAACACTACCAAGTACTAAGTAAAATATCTTTCAAGTTCTTTTAGTAATGAAAAAAATTCAAAAGAATGTTATTTAAATATAGAAATAAAAGGGACCTCCTCATAAAATAATAAAGTTAAAAAGAAAAGCATAGTCCAAAACCCAACAACCCAAAGAAACTTTCAATGTGTCAATTTAGTAGTTATAATTGCCATGGCTAATTCTGACAGAGAAAATTATTTACAAACACAGCATTAAAGTTATTTTCGGAAATTCAATATTCATTGTTAATTTATTTCATTTTTACAAGTTATAATTGCTGCCACACTTAAATTTCCTCATTTTGTCATAGAAGAAGTACTAACCTCTTTATTATTTTCTCTTTACCTTGGCCCATGTGATTTTCATAAGAATTTTCCCAAGTTTGCAATGAACAATGTACTTATTACTAACATCTAATCCAAAATTTACTCTTACCTCTTGCACACATAACTCTACTGAATTTCAGCTAAACCCAATAAAGCCTATTTGCCTGCACACATGCCTGCATGCGTGCCTGTGCACAGACACATATATTCACAATATTAGGAAAGTATAAAGATTACAAGGATCATAAGAGAAAAGAAGGCATAAAAGCTAAAAAGATTTAACAGTATTTTATTTTTGTTAGTGTTTTCAAGCTTTAAATTAATACACATAATTTGGACAAAGATTTTCCTTAAAAGCAAAGGTCTAGATTCAATAAGTTCAAGAATAAAGGTAAAATGCATATGGTCAACTAAAGTGGACAAAAGATGGCAGAGTAGGAAGGCAAGGTGGAACTCTCCTCCCACATACACACCAAAGAAGCAACTACAGCAAATACAACTAAACCTGAAAATGACCTGATGACTGCAGAACAGCCCACCTACACCTGGGGAAGAAGACCACACAGAGAAGGGTGAAATGGCAGAGCTGCCATCAAGAGGGACCCAAGCCCTTCACCTATCCCAGCCCATAGGTGGGAGGAAGAAGATGGGAGTGGGAGGGAATAGGGGCTCAGGAACTCTTCACACCTAGCCCTGGAGATCTGTTCTGGGAATTCAAGTCCACACTGCACTGAGTTCTGGTGATTAGTGGGACTGGAAACCAGGGACAGCTGGAACACTCTGGGAGGCTGAGACTCTAGCTGCCTGTGGAGGATAGGTACACACCATTGGTCCCGCTGAGACCCAAAGCAGAGGCAGCAGTTTAAAAGCTTTGCCAGCAATGGAAGTGGTGCCAGCGGGTGAGGGTTGGATGAAACTCTCTCTGCAGCAGAAAGGGCAGGTGAACATACCTCCCCAGCCCTCCATTGGCCCAACAGGTCAGACACTCTAACAAACCCAGACACTCCA